TGTAATCAGGATAGGGTGTTCTCTGGGAGAAGTGTACATACTACACTGGAGCGTAATCAGGATAGGGTGTTCTCTGGGAGAAGGTTGCGTACTACACTCGAGTGTACTGAGGATAGGGTGAACTTTGGGAGAATGGTGCGTACTACACTGGAGTGTACTCAGGACTGGGTGTACTTTGGGAGAAGGGTACATACTACACTGGAGTGTACTCAGGAGAGGGAGTACTCTGGGAGAAGGGTACATACTACACTAGAGTGTACTCAGGATAGGGTGTACTCTGGGAGAAGGGTACATACTACACTGGAGTGTACTCAGGATAGGGTGTACTCTGGGAGAAGGGTACATACTACACTGGAGTGTACTCAGGATAGGCAGTTCTCTGGGAGAACTGTGCATACTACACTGGAGCGTATTCAGGATAAGGTGTACTCTGGGAGAAGGGTATATACTACACTGGAGTGTACTCAGGATAGGGTGTACTTTGGGAGAAGGGTACATACTACACTGGAGTGTACTCAGGATTGGGTGTACTCTGGGAGAAGGGTGCGTACTACACTGGAATGTACTCAGGATAGGGTGTACTCCATGAGAAGGGTGCGTACTACACTGGAGTGTACTCAGGACTGGGTGTACTTTGGGAGAAGTGTACATATTACACTGGAATGTACTCAGGAGAGGGTGTACTCTGGAAGAAGTGTACATACTACAATGGAGCGTAATCAGGAGAGGGTGTACTCAGGGAGAATGGTGCGTACTACACTGGAGTGTACTCAGGACTGGGTGTACTCTGGGAGAAGTGTACATGCTACACTGGAGCGTACTCAGGATAGGGTGTACTCTGGGAGAAGGGTACATACTACACTGGAGTGTACTCTGGATAGGGTGTACTCTGGGAGAAGGGTGTGTACTACACTGGAGTGTAATCAGGATAGGGTGTACTCTGGGAGAAGTGTACATGCCACACTGGAGCGTAATCAGGATAGGGTGTACTTTTGGAGAAGTGTACATACTACACTGGAGCGTACTCAGGATATGGTGTACTCTGGGAGAAGGGCACATACTACACTGGAGCGTGCTCAGGATAGGGTGTACTCTGGAAGAAGTGTACTTACTACACTGGAGTGTAATCAGGATACGGTGTACTCTGGGGGTAGAGTACATGCTACACTGGAGTGTACTCAGGATAGGGTGTACTCTGGGGGTAGAGTACATGCTACACTGGAGTGTACTCGGATAGGGTGTACTCTGGGGGTAGAGTACATACTACACTGGAGCGTACTCAGGATAGGGTGTACTCTGGAAGAAGGGCACATACTACACTGGAGTGTACTCAGGATAGGGTGTACTCTGGGAGAAGGGTACATACTACACTGGAGTGTACTCTGGATAGGGTGTACTCTGGGAGAAGGGTGTGTACTACACTGGAGTGTAATCAGGATAGGGTGTACTCTGGGAGAAGTGTACATGCCACACTGGAGCGTAATCAGGATAGGGTGTACTTTTGGAGAAGTGTACATACTACACTGGAGCGTACTCAGGATATGGTGTACTCTGGGAGAAGGGCACATACTACACTGGAGCGTGCTCAGGATAGGGTGTACTCTGGAAGAAGTGTACTTACTACACTGGAGTGTAATCAGGATACGGTGTACTCTGGGGGTAGAGTACATGCTACACTGGAGTGTACTCAGGATAGGGTGTACTCTGGGGGTAGAGTACATGCTACACTGGAGTGTACTCGGATAGGGTGTACTCTGGGGGTAGAGTACATACTACACTGGAGCGTACTCAGGATAGGGTGTACTCTGGAAGAAGGGCACATACTACACTGGAGTGTACTCAGGATAGGGTGTACTCTGGGAGAAGGGCACATACTACACTGGAGTGTACTCAGGATAGGGTGTACTCTGGGAGAAAGGCACATACTACACTGGAGTGTACTCAGGATAGGGTGTACCCTGGGGGTAGAGTACATGCTACACTGGTGTGTACACAGGCTAGGTTGTACACTCGATATTTTCTTGGAATGAGGATTGCCAGTGTATGCCACACAAGTACGAAAACAAACCAAACGGTGTCTTGTTTGTGATACAGTGACTGTGTCTACAGGTGTATTTGGAGTTTAGGAGGCGTCCCATATTCCACTGAGACAGAGCCAGCACAGAATAAAGCCTTGCCATGCATGTTGGCGCCTCTTGTTATTATCTGTGTTTTTAATACATATCGTTTTCAAGGAAATGATTTCATATTTCAAAAATGGAACACATCAGACAGCATACATAATACAACCATGTCTCCCAGGTTAAATACAGCCACAGCAACATATACTGATGAGCAGCGACTAAGTTGATCGGCTTGTTGACTTGATTGTCCGACATAGTACTCTCACAGAGTGGTGTTACTCATTATACTGAAGTTATGACCTGATTGCCCGACATAGTACTCTCACAGAGTGGTGTTACTCATTATACTGTAGTCATGACTTGATTGTCCGACATAGTACTCTCACAGAGTGGTGTTACTCATTATACTGTAGTTATGAACTGATTGCCCGACATAGTACCCTGACAGTGTGGTGTTACTCACTATACTGTAGTTATGACCTGATTGCCCGACATAGTACTCTCACAGTGTGGTGTTACTCATTATACTGTAGTTATGACCTGATTGCCCGACATAGTACTCTGACAGTGTGGTGTTACTCACTATACTGTAGTTATGAACTGATTGCCCGACATAGTACTCTCACAGAGCGGTGTTACTCAGTATACTGTAGTTATGACCTGATTGCCCGACATAGTACTCTCACAGAGTGGTGTTACTCATTATACTGTAGTTATGATGACCTGTGGTGTTACTCATTATACTGTAGTTATGACCTGATTGCCCGACATAGTACTCTCACAGAGTGGTGTTACTCATTATACTGTAGTTATGACCTGATTGCCCGACATAGTACTCTCACAGAGTGGTGTTACTCATTATACTGTAGTTATGACCTGATTGCCCGACATAGTACTCTCACAGTGTGGTGTTACTCATTATACTGTAGTTATGACCTGATTGCCCGACATAGTACCCTCACAGTGTGGTGTTACTCATTATACTGTAGTTATGACCTGATTGCCCGACATAGTACCCTGACAGTGTGGTGTTACTCATTATACTGTAGTTATGACCTGATTGCCCGACATAGTACCCTGACAGTGTGGTGTTACTCATTATACTGTAGTTATGACCTGATTGTCCGACATAGTACCCTGACAGTGTGGTGTTACTCATTATACTGTAGTTATGACCTGATTGTCGACATAGTACTCTCACAGAGTGGTGTTACTCATTATACTGTAGTTATGACCTGATTGTCCGACATAGTACCCTGACAGTGTGGTGTTACTCATTATACTGTAGTTGTAGTTATGAACTACCTGATTGCCCGACATAGTACCCTGACAGTGTGGTGTTACTCATTATACTGTAGTTATGACCTGATTGCCCGACATAGTACCCTGACAGTGTGGTGTTACTCATTATACTGTAGTTATGACCTGATTGTCCGACATAGTACTCTCACAGAGTGGTGTTACTCATTATACTGTGTCAGTTATGACCTGATCACAGCCCATTACTGTAGTACCCTGTCCGACAGTGTGGTGGTGTTACTCATTATACTGTAGTCATGACTTGATTGTCCGACATAGTACCCTCACAGTGTGGTGTTACTCATTATACTGTAGTTATGACTTGATTGTCCGACATAGTACTCTCACAGTGTGGTGTTACTCATTATACTAGTTATGACCTGATTGTCCGACATAGTACCCTGACAGTGTGGTGTTACTCATTATACTGTAGTTATGACCTGATTGTCCGACATAGTACTCTCACAGTGTGGTGTTACTCATTATACTGTAGTTATGTTGATTGTGACATAGTACCCTGACAGAGTGGTGTTACTCATTATACTGTAGTACCCTGATTGTCCAGTGTCACAGAGTGGGTGTTACTCATTATACTGTACTCATGACTTGATTGTCCGACATAGTACTCTCACAGTGTGGTGTTACTCATTATACTGTAGTTATGACCTGATTGCCCGACATAGTACCCTGACAGTGTGGTGTTACTCATTATACTGTAGTTATGACCTGATTGCCCGACATAGTACCCTGACAGTGTGGTGTTACTCATTATACTGTAGTTATGACCTGATTGTCCGACATAGTACTCTCACAGAGTGGTGTTACTCAGTATACTGTAGTGATGACCTGATTGTCCGACATAGTACCTTGGGGTACATATCTGTAGTACCTGTGCCGACAACGACCCCTTCAGCCATATTCTATATCAAACTGAGAACTTTACAGCTGGCGAATGTAATGCATAAACGTTTAAATTATGTACATTATCCTGTATTAACCTTTCGATTGTATCACATGTAACGGACCGTTCATAATTTATGGCTGGGGAGGGCTCATGTTGATTTTAAGGGGGGTTGGGGTCACCCATTTTGTTCTGGGGAGCTAGCGGGTCATTCATTTTGTACACACGTACAATGGGGGGTCAGCAATTTTTACATAAAAATATGTTTAAAATTATGCTTAGAAATTATGGGAAGGTGGGGGCGCCATTGATTTTGTACATAACGTGCGGGGTGGGGTGTGTTGGGGTCACTGATTTTGTACATAACGTGCGGGGTGGGGTGTGTGGGGTCACTGATTTTGTACATAACGTGCGGGGTGTGGTGTGTGGGGGTCACTGATTTTGTACACGTTGTATAAATCTTGGGGGGTGTCTTTCAACTTGTACCTGCTCCTCCATAAAAGTCATCATCACCCCCCGCTAGCCATAAATTATGAACGGTCCCTAAATGCACCGATAAGCTGCACAGCTCAAAGTCAATGTAATACAATAGCTTCGACATCCTAAAGTTGTTGATGGGAACGATACATAAAGGGAAGTAACTCATTTTCTGTTATACAATAAGGGACACAATCCCAGCTTTGGTAAAATCAGTCACGTGATATCAAAATGGCGTCTGAACCACCCCCATTCGACGAGGAAACAGATCAGAAAGACGAAGACGATCTATTTTCAGACGCCAAGGAGGTAATAATTGTCTTAATCTGTTCATCATTTTAATTGGCACTTGAGGCTATTTACGTAATTACTACGTGTTTCACCGTGAATTTGTTACGAGACCGTCTAGTGCGGTCATGAGCAACCGGCTTTGAGTCATTTCTTGGTGATTATTCATAAACAGTTCAGCTTCAGTAGGCAGGAAGACATTTCTTTATATGTACACATTGTTAAGTTATGACAATGTTAGGAACAGTTATAACAGTTCTACCCTGTGATATCTGCTGGACGATTTTACTTTTTTCTATACGATTGTGTTAATTCAAATGCAGGGGGCGTGTCTTGTTCCAGATCACAGACCCTGTGTTGAGAAACAACGCATCGAGCTATTTGTTTAAACATGCAGTTTCTTATAGATATGCCACAGATGATATCCTTAATATCATCACTCCTGTTTCATACGATGTTTTGTCAGCGATACTTATTGAAATAGAGTTGTCATGGTGACGGAGGTGAAACAAGTATTTTATTGTGAGCTCAAACGAAATATTGATACTATTGTTCAGTTTACTGTTTGTGCAAGGTGTACTTACGCAAAGCCTTTCTGTATATTTTGGATTTCTCCAACTGATTAATTATTTTATTTGTGAAATACAAGTTATTACATTACATTGTTCTCCTGTTTTCACCACTTTCTAAAGCTCCCATTTTGCAACTCCCTTGTTAACTACCTTTGATTTAGCTGTTTTAAGGATGGGTATTCGGATGTTTGGGGCCATTGTTGATACTTTCTATTTTTATGGATGTGAAAGGTAATAATGCAGAATCCATGTTCAGCATCTTTTTTTTGTCTTTATATCTGAGGCCACATTGCCTTCGATTATGAGGTTGTGTGAGATGTTGATTTCTCAAAAAATGATTTCTCTTTGATATTTTGGGACCTGTTTCATAATGGGGTGGTTGACAGATGCATTTAAACTTAAATTATGATCTCTCTTTTAGGCCATGACTTTGTAGCGCTTGGAAATATTTCTTTGTTTTAGCAAAAGTCTGAGCCATCACTTAGTGAAGAGCCAGCCAGTTTAGTCGTCAATGATGAGGATGCTGGAATCAAGGAAAAAGACGAGGAGGATTTGTTTGCTGGTAAGTTTTAGGTTCTTGATATATTGACTTTTGTTCTACAGCTTGGACAGTGAGGGGCATGAAAATATATCATTATACATCAAAGCTACTATATTGCTAGATATCTCATAGGCGTTGATGACATGTTTTAACATATTTTCCCATGGAAAGTCAAATATTTCATGACATGTTTATTTAAATGTGAAAACTCATCCAAAATGAAACTGATGAAGACACAGGAACTGTGTAGGATCTGATGACGTGACAGAGTTACTAGACTTCCTACAAGGAACTGCTAGTAAGAGAGTAATTGACTTCCCACAATCAAGGATATTAGTATTAGGCTTTGATACACAGAGGCTTCTAGTCTAATCAAGCTGCCAATTAGTAATTTTTAAATTCGTCCATAAGAAAAATAACCAAACTTCCTTGCCAATATGCCTCAAATAAAATATGATGACTGAAGCAAGTTTCTGTGCAGTTCTTTTGTTATTGGCTTTGCCATGTTCAGCTCTATTGTTTTGGTTTTGAGAATCAGGCGTGAATGGATGGTGTAATGGCAAATTATTTCAGGCATGATTTAAAAACACACAGAGAATTGTTGACATACTGTCGGAGTGTCCAAGCAAAGTTGCAGTTTTTTTCTGCAACACTGCCACATGCATATTACATAATATGTAGTACATTTGCCTCATCAGTCACACCTGGAATTATAGGCCAGTCTTAGATTCAATAATGTATCCGAGATAAGAGAAATATCAAGTAGGATCCTTTGTTAGTTAACTGAAGTGGTGCTACCAGGTGGTGGTTATTGAGATTTGATACCTCTGAATGAACTCTTGATGGATGTGTTGTACAGAAGGTGTATATTGTGATTTGATATCTCTGATTCAACTCTAGGTGGATGTGTTGTGTAGGAGGTGGTGGTTATTGTGATTTGATTCCTCTGAATGAACTCTTAATGGATGTGTTGTGCAGGAGGTGGTTTGGTTGAGTGGCATTCTAGAAGTTGGTGGTATAGAGATGACAAAACTGTATGGATGGCATTGTTATCTCATTATCATGTGTACATATATCTTGTCTATAAACTGTTGTACCCCATCATTCCCCATGTGCTTGAAAACGGTATAAGAATCTATACCGAAATGTCACTATAGTAAAAATATAGAAGTTTGATTATCCATAAAGTTTTGTCATCTCCAGGAGGTGGTTATTGTGATTTGATATCTCTGATTCAACTCTTAATGGATGTGTTGTGCAGGTGGTGTTCATTGTGATTTGATATCTCTGATTCAACTCTTGATGGATATGTTGTACAGGAGGTGGAGATGAGGTAAAGCTGGATGACTCTGAGACAGAGGAGGAAGTTCCCCCAGTTGCAGCTGCTGTGCCAGAGAAGGAGGCAGCTCCACCTGTTGTAGGGGCCACCAGCCCCAAGCCCGAACCAACACCCCAGATCAGTGTGTCCCAGTCCTCTACGTCATCGTCAAAATTGTCAGGGACAACAAAGAGTTCTAGAGATGAGGTACAGAAGCCAGTCTTTCCCCTAACCTTGCTTCGTTACCTTTGTTTCCCACTGCAGAGGGTCCTTTGGGCTGGCCTTCTATGGTCTTTGAAATCAAGGAACTGTCACAAGCTTTAGCTTATGAAACTAAGACAATGACAAGGTTCCCTTAACTTTCATGCTTAGTTTTGAATGCTGATAGTGATACTGTATCACAGGTTAAAATATAACATGTAAGGCAGAAGATAATGATATTGTAAAATCAAATGCAGTAGGTGGTTTAAAGTATACATTATAGCTTGTCAGACTGAAGATATCATTTGATGTTGTCAATTGTTGTTGCATTCGTGTAGTTATATTGATGTGAGAAATGATTAATGTTCTTACAATTGGTGACTCCAGGTGGATGTTGACGAAGAGGATGAAGACACCATAGAGATTCGTGTCATGGAGCCGCAGAAGATGGGTGATGGCATCGGTGCATACATGGTTTACCGAGTTGTTACTAAAGTAGGTCCTTCAACTGCCATCCTTATAGCAATAGGTCCTTTGGCTGCCATCATTATAGCATTAGGTCCTTCAGCTGTCATCCTTATAGCAGTAGGTCCTTCAGCTGCCATCCTTATAGCAGTAGGTCCTTCAGCTGCCATCCTTAATGCAGCAGGGACATATTGGAAATTCAACACTCAGTGGTCATATTGATTTTATTAACTTATTATCGAAGTTCAGATGTAAGTTAACATTGAAATTTTACATTTACCTTGCATTTAGTGTAGTATTCTTAAACTAAGCATTAAAGCCTCCTACTCTGTATTAATGCTGTTATTAAACAGTATGATAGAAATTCCTTTAGAAATTCCATCATGACTGACTGACTGAGTTTGGTTTTACGCCGCTTGTAGCAATATTCCAGCAATATCACGGCGGGGAACACCAGAAATGGGCTTCACACAATGTACCCATGTGGGGATTCGAACCCGGGTCTTCGGCGTGACGAGCCAACGCTTTAACCACTAGGCTACCCCACCGCCCTCCATCATGAACAGGGTTCATGTTTCTGCAGATGGACTGAAGTCCTTGAATTTCATTACCTATGAAGATCCGGGAAAGAATTGGTATTCAGTAACCCATGCTTGTCTTGAGAGGCGACTAACAGGATCAGGTGGTCAGGCTCGCTGACTTGGTTGACACATGTCATCGTATCCTTGGAATATTGCTGTGTGCGGCGTTAAATGACAACCAAACCAAAACTTGATACATTATAAGCTCAATAGTATTTGTCATTATGCTCAGTCAATGTAGATAACATATTTCAAACTTAAAATGTCATTTTTTGTTTCTACGAAGTCAGTAAACTGCTATCCTGTCACTGGATTATCAGGTATACTGACCAATCATTGTCTTGTGAAAGCAAGATCGTTTACAGGCTACCTTTGTAAGGCAGCAGGATACTGCCCCATGGTATCAGGTACACCCAATGGAATCAGTTTTAGCAGATGTTCTCGTTGTCTTATCACCAGTTACAATCAAGTTGAAGTGACACTAGTAGTATGTTGACTGTCAGTGTCAGTTGTTTTACAACCTTATGTAGGCTATGCACGTTAATAACCCGTGAAGGTCCTGATTAGAATATTGATCTTCAGTAACCCATGCTTGTCATAAGAGGCAACTAACGGGATCGGGTAGTCAGGCTCACTGACTTGGTTGACACGTCATCGGTTCCCAATTGTGCAGATCGATGCTCATGGTGTTACAGACCACCGTCATATTGCTGGAATATTGCTGAGTGCGGCGTAAAACTAAACTCACACACTCACTCACTATCCACGTTAATACGACAAGACACTTCTCTATGTTACTGGAACCAACAACTATCTGTGGCTGTGTTTCAGACCAGCTGTCCAGCATTCCGCAAGCCAGAGTTGAGTGTGTTGAGGAGGTTCAGTGACTTCCTTGGGCTACACGCCAGGCTCCAAGAGAAAAATGTCAAGAATGGAATCATTGTCCCCCCTGCACCAGAAAAAAGTGTTGTTGGTATGAACGTTTCTCAAGATCTAGGAAAACATATTACATTGTTTGCTATGGATATACTGCCAGAAGTATATTGACTCATTCACAGAACCAACATCATGACAGCTGATGTAAAGTCACTGCTGTCTTTGAAGGGAATTTAGAAAGTTTTATAAGTAATTATACCCCAGGGGTATATATCGTTCATTCTGTCCATCTGTCCTTCCATCTTTCCGTCCCGAAACTTTGTTCGTAATCATCACCCATAGTTGTCTTTTGCTATTTTGAAGTTTATCAGAATTTCATTTTTGCTGTTTCCATGGAAACACGACTTAGTGCAAAATGTGTTTGATGGTTATCTTGTCCGTAGCATATCACTGAAACTATACATGCTAGGTTCACCAAACTTTCCACACAAGTTAATCAACAGCCATAGATATGCCTTGTGCTATTTATTTTGCAAACTGTGATTATTCAAAATATGATGTTAACTTCTTACTTTTCATGGTCTTTCTTCGTGTCATATGTACTAATATGTGGTTTATTCTATCTAGATTAGTGATTTCCTTCATGTGATTTACGGTATATATCAGTATCAGTTATTTCCATGTCCCAAAGTGGGAAGCGGGGTATGTGAGCTGTGCTCACTTCTAGACTAGTGTTATATTTAGTCTTGTGACAAACAGAAGCAAAGTGACAAAGCACTGGTGTCACTTGGTCTGACACGAGTCACGTTCTGTGTTGTGTGGGATGTCAGTTAAAGGGCAAGTGTACAATTAGCTGTTATCAGTGTTTAAAAGTATGTATTATTAAACTTATCCTATCTCATGTAGTGTACTCTCATGATTCGACAGCTGAGTAGAAACAAACTACAAACAAAGTTTTCAGCCTCCCCATTCACCCAACCACTCCCCTCTGCTCCCAGTCATTCATCTCAGCCTCTGTGAAGCATGCAGCATGCCTCCTGATTGGTCATGTGACTCCTTTGTCTGATCATTCTCTTTCTTGTCGCACAACAGTGCAGAAGTGCCATTAACTAAGGGAAAAATTTTGATTTGAAATTGTCTACCTTTGGTAAAGAAGACTCTACATCTAGGAAAAGAAAGTTTTGTTCTCAATGCCAGAAGCTATTTTCTTCCTCGGACACCCGCTCATCAATGATCATGTATAGTCTGTATTGGACTATGCAGTTGGGATTTTCCTGGACAGTAAGGTTCGGATTCAGTGAATCCCCGTCTCCTACCATTCGCTGAATGAAAAGGAATCGATATCTTTGCCTCACCACTTTTTGCCACGGACCAAGGTGACTACCTTAGCTGATTTGACTGGCCCTACCATTCCACAATCGGGCTTGGTTTAGCTAATCAGCCAAACTTGGTGTTTCACTCCTCTTCTGACGTGCAATCTAGTTCAGCAAATCAGTCCGGTTCGGGGCATCCTTCCGGTTCGGGGCATCCTTCCCATTGGTGCATCGTACTACTTTGATGAATCGTTCCAGTTGGGGGCAGTGTGAGAAATAGTTTCCAGGTTTGCCAGCCAGTCGGGCTAGCTATGCCTGAAAGTTACTAGCCCACAAAATAATTCACAAGCCCGAAATTTGAATGTAGAAACTAAACAAAAGATAACAATCAGTAAACGCTTTTGTTTCGGCTACTGAACTTTAGCCTACTTCTACAACTGTCAAGGCCAGGGTCTGGTGCATTTCTATCGGCGATCTGCATGGGAACCCGACCTCCTGAATCACGAACGCTACTGAGTAAACTTGCTTCGCCAACCATGGTCGAGCCCTAACCTAGTCAAGGGGATCATCCATGCTTTTTTCTACCAAGGTTGAGCGAAATATTCGCTTTCTAGTATGGGTTGAACCTCTAAATCTACAAAAGGTGCAAGCATAACAGTCTGTTAGACTGCCTGGCGCAGTATGTTCTGAAGAATCCCAACTTTCAAGATTTCTTTTGGAGCAGAAACCTTTTTCAACCTAGAGCAAGGAAACAATCCTCTTCTGACGAGCGATTTGGTTTGGCGAACCTACCCCTCGTCGCAGATACCAGTTCCACATCCACTACTATGGCTTTTCTATGGCTTGTGGCTATTAACCCACATCATGTGATACATCACTCAGTCTCTGCATTGCTGAGGCATCGTTTTCAAGGCTTAGATCGATGACTGTATACAGCTCAAGAGATCGCCACATTCTCCTACAATATATATACATTTCACTAACAGCGAGAGTAGATTCTCAACATCAAGACGTCAGAGCTGATTCCAACGCGCACACAGAGTCAGCGATCTATTGCACCAAATATCATGGAGGTCAACTTGATAGTGCACCTGTGACGTCATACAGGGAGTTGACTGGTGGTACACCGGTAGTTCTTCCGAATTCGGTAGACTACCACGCTGGCTACTTTACAGTTTCATATGGGAATTTTCGTGTGAAGTTACGATTACATATTCGACAGAATGCAATGACTGCGTATTGGATGTATAACATCAACAGGGAACTACTGCATTCCTCGAAATAAAGATGAGAGATTTGCGCTGGTCATGTTGTCCCTGGCTAGTAAAAATTCAAGTGATATGTTTGCAGTGGTCCTGGTGGCCAGTGAATTTTGCCAATCCAAATCCAGTTACCCTATCCAGTTGAGACGACTTACTGGTCCATCCACACTCAGATATTTTCCACAAGTCTCCACAGATGCACTTCCACTCGGTCAATCACGATGACAAATGGTAGAAATCTTAACTATAAATTGTATATTTATTTATCCTATCTCACACGATGGATGCCTGCCCGACCTTCCCTACCACGCAGATTACACTCAAAGAAGAATGATCAGACAAAGGAGTCACATGACCAATCAGGAGGCGTGCTGCATGCTTCGCAGAGGCTGAGCTTGTCCATGAATGGGAGGATGGGGAGTGTTTGGGCAGATGGTACAAAAGAGGCCAAAAACTTCATTTGCAATTCGTTTTCACACAGCTGTTGAAACGTGAGAGAGAGAGTACACTACGTGAGATAGGATAAGTATATAATTATACAATTTATAGTTAAAATGTCCAAACTCATTATTCTCTCATTGAAAGTGGAACTGCTCAGTACAAGAGTTAATATGTTATGCCAATAGAAGTCCTTCCATTTCCAAGCTAAACTGGCCAGAGTTACCCCCCTTAGATTATGATGTAATTGGTAACAATGGTCTTGGACTGTCTCCTGTCTGATCCCGAAGCAATATAGATATCTTTAGGGAGTTTTGTCATGTGAAAATGTATGCAAAGAATACGAAAGATTCATAATTAAGATTTCCGAGCTCAGCTTTTGTTTTCATGCATTATTTATATTGCTTGATTTCCCCTACAACACTTGTTACTTGTGATACCTCCACTGTTTTGGTTATGAAACTACCAGATGTGTAGTTTTTATGTTGAAAAAGGACAAGACAGAAAGGTATATTTGGGGGTAAACTTGTCCTGTATTGAATGTTGTTATTGCAGGCATGACAAAGATCAAGATGTCCAAGGAAGAATCAGGTTCTTCTGACTTTGTGGAGAGGAGGCGAGCAGCACTTGAAAGGTATCTAAAACTTACACAGATCTTAATTGCAGAGTACTGGGCTGACAGTGTACATTTTGTCTTGAAACTTGCTCATGTCACTAAAGCTGAGTGAAGGACAAAAATGTTTCTTGTTTTTGTATTACCCTCAGATAATGACTGCAACATCCCATGAACATATGCTAATCATCTTGGTGTTTGAGATGTCAGTTTCTGCAATTGTGAGAAGTCAGTTTTTGTTACGGTATAAGTCAGTGCCACGAGGACCTTGTAGTGAACAACTCCGACGTCATGTTAATAGAGAATGTTGGCTGTTAGTGGTTCAAGGGGACTACAGTGAAGGTCCTTGCACTATTCATCACATGGGTACAATGTGTGAAGTTCGTTTGTGTGTCCCTTGCATGATATTGTTGGAATATTGCTGAATGTGGTGTAAAACCAAAATCATTCACTCACCCAATGAATCTGCTGTAGGTACTTAAATCGGACAGCTCAACACCCAGTCTTGAGGAACGACCCTGACCTTCAGGACTTCCTGGAGCGGGATGGGGAACTGCCAAAATCCACCAGCACCTCTGCGCTCAGTGGCGCAGGGGTCATGCGTCTCTTTCACAAGATGGGTGATGCTGTCGAGAAAATTACTTTCAAGATGGATGAAACTGATGAGGTATGTCTTCTTTTCATGGATTGAGATGACTTAGAGATGGAGAATGTTTATTGCTAAGGAGGTAGCAGAGGGGCAGTGCAAAGTGTGTGATGTGGGATTACTGTGAGCAGTTGTGACAGAAGATTTCGTCACAACTTCCCCAGTGACAGGATGCAGTGTTGCAACTCTTGGGCAATGAATACTCCAGTTATTTGGATTATGTGAACATAAAATGTTCCTTTCAGCAGAATCAAAGTTATTCTAATTCTTTGATCACCAAAAAGACAAGCGTGAATAATGCTGAGATAGTACCTTCCATATTGTTCTGCACCCAACATCAGTTTTCAGATATATGTCATGTATTTTTTGTATTTTATCCTGTCCTAAGTAGACAATTTTTGAAGAATTTGGTAATGAAGTAATTACATTATACAAGCCTACATCACATTTCTGGGCACTTTTCAGTTTCTTTAAGCCAGCCTTATTATTGTTAATATATGGTAGTTATTCTTACTGCTACATAACTCCCTCAGAGTTTTACAGAGAAGAAAACTGCACTTGAATATTGAGCATTGGCCTGTTTTGAATTCACCAGTCACACTAAAAGTCTTGTATTGTTGTCTGTTACACAAATGTCACTACAAAACTTTTCAACCATCGTCTTCACTATATAAATGATGATAAGAGAGTAGCTAATACTGTGTGTTTTCCCAGTCAATAGGCCTTTATCTGCATACTTATTTTTGCTCAATCGTCCCTCGCTCCCCATCGTGTGGCGGGCAGTGGAGCTTCCAGATGGAGGTAATGTCAGTGTCTGTATGCACCCCCATCCTCCGTGTCTGTCTCACAAAGCTGCAACAACACAACAACCAGCGTAGTGTCCATCTCACACAGCTACAACACAACAACCAGCTGTAGTGTCCATCTCACACAGCTACAACACAACAACCAGCGTAGTGTCCATCTCACACAGCTACAACACAACAATCAGTGTAGTGTCCATCTCACACAGCTACAACACAACAACCAGCGTAGTGTCCATCTCACACAGCAACAACACAACAACTAGCGTAGTGTCAATCTCACACAGCTACAACACAACAATCAGTGTAGGGTCCATCTCACACAGCTACAACACAACAACCAGCGTAGTGTCCATCTCACACAGCTACAACACAACAACCAGCGTAGTGTCAATCTCACACAGCTACAACACAACAATCAGTGTAGAGTCCATCTCACACAGCTACCACACAACAACCAGCGTAGTGTCCATCTCACACAGCTACAACACAACAATCAGTGTAGAGTCCATCTCACACAGCTACAACACAACAACCAGTGTAGTGTCCATCTCACACAGCTACAACACAACAATCAGTGCAGTGTCCTTCTCACACAGCTACCACACAACAATCAGTGCAGTTCCCTTCTCACACAGCAACAACACAACAACCAGCGTAGTGTCCATCTCACACAGCTACAACACAACAATCAGTGTAGAGTCCATCTCACACAGCTACAACACAACAATCAGTGTAGTGTCCATCTCACACAGCTACAACACAACAATCAGTGTAGTGTCCATCTCACACAGCTACAACACAACAGTCAGTGTAGTGTCCATCTCATACAGCTACAACACAACAATCAGTGTAGTGTCCATCTCACACAGCTACAATACAACAATCAGTGTAGTGTCCATTTCACACAGCTACAACACAACAATCAGAGTAGTGTCCTTCTCACACAGCTACCACACAACAATCAGTGCAGTTCCCTTCTCACACAGCAACAACACAACAACCAGCGTAGTGTCCATCTCACACAGCTACAACACAACAATCAGTGCAGTTCCCTTCTCATACAGCTACAACACAATAATCAGTGCAGTGTCCTTCTCATACAGCTACAACACAACAATCAGTGTAGGGTCCATCTCACACAGCTACAACACAACAACCAGTGCAGTGTCCATCTCACACAGCTACCACACAACAATCAGTGCAGTGTCCTCACACAGCTACAACACAACAACCAGTGCAGTGTCCTTCTCATACAGCTACAACACAACAATCAGTGCAGTGTCCTTCTCATACAGCTACAACACAATAATCAGTGCAGTGTCCTTCTCATACAGCTACAACACAACAATCAGTGCAGTGTCCTCATACAGTTAGAACACAACAATCAGTGCAGTGTCCTTCTCATACAGTTAGAACACAACAATCAGTGCAGTGTCCTTCTCATACAGCTACAACACAACAATCAGTGCAGTGTCCTTCTCATACAGTTAGAACACAAGAATCAGTGCAGTGTCCTTCTCATACAGTTAGAACACAACAATCAGTGCAGTGTCCTTCTCACACAGCTACCACACAACAATCAGTGCAGTGTCCTTCTCATACAGCTACATCACAATAATCAGTGCAGTGTCCTTCTCATACAGCTACAACACAACAGTCGGTGTATTGTCCTTCTCACACAGCTACAAGACAACAATCAGTGCAGTGTCCTCATACAGCTACAACACAACAATCAGTGCAGTGTCCTCATACAGCTACAACACAACAATCATTGCAGTGTCCTTCTCATACAGCTACAACACAATAATTCAGTGCAGTGTCCTTCTCACACAGCTACATCACAACAATCAGTGCAGTGTCCTTCTCATACAGCTACAAAAACACAACTACCGGCAGACACAGAGGAGTATTGTTGACTTTCAAATGCATCTGTTATCACCTCCACATTGTTGCAGCTGTTGTTTGTTTGTCTGTATGTCTGTCTGTCAATATAGACTCTGTGTCTGAATTTGTGCATATTGGCAGCTTACAGACCTGCTTGCTAAGACATCAAAGGTGACACCATTCTATTCAGATAGAAAAATCCATGATGAAAAAATAAATCAAATAAATAGTCCTCTCTTGTATCATGTTAGTCCCACCGTTTGTCAAGTTGTTCATATGTAGCTTGTATGATGAATTTAGGGATATTGTGCTGTTTCTGCCAAAAATGTTGTCACTTTCAACGTTTAAAGAAGAAATTTGCCTCGTTTGTATTGAATTTTTTATCACTTTGATCATCCTGCATGTTTACTGTTTTTTAATGCCTCTTATTTTGAAAACTGATGTTGGGTTACATTTGTAGAAATGCATTTGTTTACCTCCTAGCTAGAGCCTCTAAATATTTCTAACAGTCTTCTAGAGACACACTAACCATAGAACAGTTGTATACTTCAAATAGTAATGACAATACATAGTAGCCATAGTGTACCTGTATGCTTCCAACAGTCATCTGGAGACACACTAGCCATAGAGCAACTATATACTTCAAATAGTAATTACAATACATAGTAGCCATAGTGTACCTGTATGCTTCCAACAGTCATCTGGAGACACACTAGCCATAGAGCAGCTGTATACTTCAAATAGTAATGACAATACATAGTAGCCATAGTGTACCTGTATGCTTCCAACAGTCATCTGGAGACACACTAGCCATAGACTGACTGACTGACTGAGTTTGGTTTTACGCCGCTTTTAGCAATATTCCAGCAATATCACGACGGGGGACACCAGAAATGGGCTTAACACATTGTGCCCATGTGGGGAATCGAATCCGGGTTCTTCGACGTGATGAGCCAATGCTTTAACCACTAGGCTACCCCACCGCCCCACTAGCCATAGAGCAGCTGTATACTTCAAATAGTAATGACAATACATAGTAGCCATAGTGTACCTGTATGCTTCCAACAGTCATCTGGAGACACACTAGCCATAGAGCAGCTGTATACTTCAAATAGTAATGACAATACATAGTAGCCATAGTGTACCTGTACGCTTCCAACAGTCATCTGGAGACACACTAACCATAGAGCAGCTGTATACTTCAAATAGTAATGACAATACATAGTAGCCATAGTGTACCTGTATGCTTCCAACAGTCATCTGGAGACACACTAGCCATAGAGCAGCTGTATACTTCAAATAGTAATGACAATACATAGTAGCCATAGTGTACCTGTATGCTTCCAACAGTCATCTGGAGACACACTAGCCATAGAGCAGCTGTATACTTCAAATAGTAATGACAATACATAGTAGCCATAGTGTACCTGTATGCTTCCAACAGTCATCTGGAGACACACTAGCCATAGAGCAGCTGTATACTTCAAATAGTAATGACAATACATAGTAGCCATAGTGTACCTGTATGCTTCCAACAGTCATCTGGAGACACACTAGCCATAGAGCAGCTGTATACTTCAAATAGTAATGACAATACATAGTAGCCATAGTGTACCTGTATGCTTCCAACAGTCATCTGGAGACACACTAGCCATAGAGCAACTATATACTTCAAATAGTAATGACAATACATAGTAGCCATAGTGTACCTGTATGCTTCCAACAGTCATCTGGAGACACACTAGCCATAGAGCAGCTGTATACTTCCAACAATCAAGATACATCATAATCATCTAGATACACTAACCACAGTGTAGCTGAATGCTTCCAACAGTCATCTAGAGGCACAGTAGCCATATATTTGATGTAAAGCGATATAGGGGACAGGTTTTCGCCTGAGGTAAGGGATAAGGATGTCTCCTGGATAATAAAGGCAGGTGGGAGGAATTTGTCTCCTGGAGTTGGTCCTTACTGGTTGGTTGTGACCTAGATGGTAGAATGGATGCCTATGTGGTTGAAATGAGGGTTGTGTCCATGGGGTAGGGGAGGAGAGTTGTGTGCAATACGGATGGAGATAACGGTTATTGTCCCGGCTGGTTGGATGGAGGAGTTGTGTGCAGTAGGGTAGGAGATAAGGGTTTATAATTTTATTGTCCAGGATGGTGGCAAGAGGGATTGGAGATACGGGTTATTGTCCAGGCTGGTGGGAAGGAGGATTTGAGCTAAGAGTTATTGTCCTGGCTGGTTGGATGGAGGGTTGTGTGCAATAGGATTGGAGATAAGGGTTATTGTCCAGGCTGGTGGGAAGGAGGATTGGAAATAAGAGTTATTGTCCAGGGCCTAGATTTTCGAAGCTCTCTTAGCACTAAGTTGGTCGTAAGTGCCATACATTAACATTAACTTACGACTATCTTAGCGCTAAGAGGGCTTCGAAAATCTAGGCCCTGGCTGGTGGAAAGGAAGATTGGAGATAAGGGTTATTGTCCTGGCTGGTTGGATGGAGGGTTGTGTACAGTAGGATTGGAGATAAGGGTTATTGTCCTGGCTGGTTGGATGGAGGGTTGTATGCAATAGGGATGGAGATAAGGGTTATTGTCCCGGCGGGTTGGATGGAGGGTTGTGTGTAGTGGGGTAGGAGATAAGGGTTATTGTCCTGGCTGGTGGGGAGGAGGATTGGACATAAGGGTTATTGTCCTGGCTGGTGGGAAGGAGGATTGGAGATAAGGGTTATTGTCCTGGCTGGTGGGAAGGAGGATTGGAGATAAGGATTATTGTCCTGGCTGGTTGGATGGAGGGTTGTGTGCAGTAGGGATGGGGATAAGGGTTTATTGTCCTGGCTGGTGGGAAGGAGGATTGGAGATAAGGATTATTGTCCTGGCTGGTGGGAAGGAGGATTGGAAATAAGGATTATTGTCCTGGCTGGTTGGATCAAGGGTTGTGTGCAGTAGGGATGGAGATAAGGGTTTATTGTCCTGGCTGGTGGGAAGGAGGATTGGAGATAAGGATTATTGTCCTGGCTGGTGTGAATGAGGATTGAAGGTAAGGATTATTGTCCTGGCTGGTGGGAAGGGGGATTGGAGATAAGGGTTATTGTCCTGGCTGGTGGGAAGGAGGATTGGAGATAAGGGTTATTGTCCTGGCTGGTGGGAAGGAGGATTGGAGATAAGGATTATTGTCCTGGCTGGTGGGAAGGAGGATTGGAGATAAGGATTATTGTCCTGGCTGGTGGGAAGGGGATTGGAGATAAGGATTATTGTCCTGGCTGGTGGGAAGGAGGATTGGAGATAAGGATTATTGTCCTGGCTGGTGGGAAGGGGGATTGGATATAAGGGTTATTGTCCTGGCTGGTGGGAAGGAGGATTGGAGATAAGGATTATTGTCCTGGCTGGTGGGAAGGAGGATTGGAGATAAGGATTATTATCCTGGCTGGTGGGTTGACATAAGGATTGTGTGCAATAGGGATGGAGATATGGGTTATTGTCCTGGATCTAGACTTCCAAAGCTCTGTTAGAACAAAGATAGTTGTAGGTTAATTTTAGCACAAATAGTGCTTCGAAACCTAGGTCCTGGCTGGTGGGAAGGAGGATTGGAGATAAGGGCTATTATCCTGGCTGATGGAAAGGAGGGGTGTGTGCTTGAAGGTGGATGCAGTTATGTTAAGTGCATACAATCATTGAGGTGTATTGATTTTCAGTAAGTCTGCTTGTAAAGTAGTCCAGGACTGTTCAGTATTCTGCAGTGTTGTTTGTTCCATTGAACAAAAGTAGCCAGGAGCTTGTGCCAGAATGCATATTGATGTCATTGCAGAACACATTCATTATTGGTAGGGCCAGGCCCACCAGATGTTAGAGGGAGGCAGGGTAGAAACAAAATAGTGCTTCTGCTACTGAAAACTTTCTGTACGCAGATGGTTTGATGTTGCAGCAAGTCCAGCATGTTCAGGAAAGTGAGTGAGTTAAAATTTAACGTCACATTGGCATTGCTTCAGCCATATAATGACGTTTTGTAAAGGATAGAAGAATATCCTACTACTAATGTATGGTCTGGTAGAAGGATATGGCTTCTGAAATAATTATTTTCATTTCTAGTTGTCTGATGTCAGAATGCAGACAGTGACTTGTCTATTGTGTCACTCTGTGTTGTGCATATTCCTGCATGTAGGAACCAGTCACAATTGTTTGTGCATGAGGAAGACCAAAATGCATGGTAAAACATGAATTGAGGTTGTTTCATTGTTCTAATTTCACTTAAGTTGTTTATCCTTCTTCCTGCAAGCATGATTTCCTATCTTTGTGAATGTCTTTGGATATATCTATATGTTCTGAAATATTCTAAGTAAACCCAAGACAGTTTTCCATGCAAGCTGTCTATGGCTCCTTCCTTCTTCTCCATACATACATAGTTCAACACAGTAATGTATACATAGAGGAGGTAATGTTAATATTTTAACTTATTATTATGTTTGGATGCCTTGTATAGACACGCTATAACAGATTTGTTTTGTTTTCAGTGGTTTGAGGAGAAACAGCAGCAAATTGAGGCCTTGGACCAACAACTCCGTAAACTCCACTCCAGTGTTGAGGCTCTCTCCATGCACAGGAAAGGTACACCCTGTTACACATTCTCTCCATGCACAGGAAAGGTACACCCTGTTACACATTCTCTCCGTGCACAGGAAAGGTACATCCTGTTACACATTCTCCACACACCGGTATTGTACACATTTACTCAATCTAGAAGATGCTGACAGTTAGATATTGTGTCAAGGAGTCTGTCAAGCAGGAATATGTAATCTGTTGTTTCATGGTTGTGTTTCCTGTGTGCATCATATCTTCCATTTGTCATGTCCCACAGAGCTGAGCACAACTACAGCTGTGTTTGCCAAGAGTGCTGCCATGCTGGGGAGCGTGGAGGAGCACACCGCGCTGTCCCGGGCTCTGTCCCAGCTGGCAGAGACGGAGGAGAAGATCGAGCAGCTGCACAAGGAACAGGCAGAACATGACTTCTTCACCATGGCTGAACTTATGAAGGACTACATCTCCCTCATAGGAGCAGTCAAGGTAAAACTCTAGTAATAGTTGTAGAAGTTGTTTACTCAGAAGTAGCCAGATGCAGCAGTGTTGTACCATTCTTCACTGATGTTGAGTAGACTTGACCTTATTACAATCTGTAGACAGTCAGCACCTTACCTGCAGATATCTAGGGGCTATGTATCTGATAGCCTTACTCCCCGCATTAGCACGCTTGCAATGATATGCATAAAATGTTGTTCAGAATGCGTTGTTATCCAACTGGTGGCGTAACACAACATACAGCACACAGGTCAGTGAGTGTGGTGAGTAGCTGGATTTTGTAGCGTTATTGTTTTTAAATATAGCTGTGTTCGCTCAGCTTGGTAGGAGGATGTAGCAACATGAAGGCTAACCTTCTATTGCTTTACAGGCACTCAGCTTGGTAGGAGGATGTAGCAACATGAAGGCTAACCTTCTATTGCCTTACAGGCACTCAGCTTGGTAGGAGGATGTAGCAACATGAAGGCTAACCTTCTATTGCTTTACAGGCACTCAGCTTGGTAGGAGGATGTAGCAACATGAAGGCTAACCTTCTATTGCCTTACAGGCACTCAGCTTGGTAGGAGGATGTAGCAACATGAAGGCTAACCTTCTATTGCCTTACAGGCACTCAGCTTGGTAGGAGGATGTAGCAACATGAAGGCTAACCTTCTATTGCCTTACAGGCACTCAGCTTGGTAGGAGGATGTAGCATCATGAAGGCTAACCTTCTATTGCCTTACAGGCACTCAGCTTGGTAGGAGGATGTAGCATCGTAACGGTTAACCTTCTATTGCCTTACAGGCACTCAGCTTGGTAGGAGGATGTAGCAACATGAAGGCTAACCTTCTATTGCCTTACAGGCACTCAGCTTGGTAGGAGGATGTAGCATCGTGAAGGCTAACCTTCTATTGCTTTACAGGCACTCAGCTTGGTAGGAGGATGTAGCAACATGAAGGCTAACCTTCTATTGCCTTACAGGCAGTCTAAAGTGTACATTTCCCAGGGAGATAACTTAAGCACTGCTCCTTTCTCCGGAGTAATAATGTAGCACTCTGAGCATGCTTTAAAGATGTTAAAGTGTGGACTGGATGCATTATTAATATCCACATTATTATTAACTCAGTGAGTAACAGTAACTGAGTGTGTGTCTTGCTGTCAGTCGGGTAGAGGTACTTTTACAGTTGGCTTCAGGAAAGATTTCTTATCTTTTGAAGTGCATGAATAGATTTTGTTTTCAGCATTGGTGCTGAATATTTCAGTATTGACTTCTCTTTTGACACTGCCTTGTCCAAGTGTTTAAATGTGGACTAATTCACATTTGTCTGTCAATAATAAAATGTAATTTTTTAAAATAATTGTGTAATTACATTTTAGGATAGGATTTAGGTCTTACATTATTTTTTTCTGCTGTCAGTAATTGTGAAATGTTTCAAACCGGTACTCCAAGCATGTTATGAAATGTTTTGGAGGTGTTTTATCAGCACAGCTTGTTTTGTAATGTTTTGCAGGAGGTATTTCATGAGCGCTACAAGTTGTACAAGAACTGGAAGGATGCTGAGGTTGTCCTGGGGAAGAAAAGGGAAAACAAGGCCAAACTTGAGGTGCAGCACAAGACTGACAAGATCTCACAGGCACAACAGGAGATCACAGAGGTCAGTTCATGGCATCTAACTGTCAGTTTGTCAAGCATCTAACTGTCAGTGTGTCAAACATCTGTCTGTGTGTCAAGCATGTATCTGTCAGTGTGTCAAGTGTCTAATTGTCAGTGTGTCAAGCATGTACTGTCAGTGTGTCAAGCATGTACTGTCAGTGTGTCAAACATGTAACTGTCAGTGTGTCAAGCATGTAACTGTCAGTGTGTCAAACATATGTCTGTGTTTCAAGCATGTAATTGTCAGTGTGTCAAGCATCCAATTGTCAGTGTATCAAGCATGTATCTGTCAGTGTGTCAAGGGTGTATCTTTCAGTGTGTCAAACATCTGTCAGTGTGCCAAACGTCTGTCTGTGTGTCACGCATGTAACTTTCAGTGAATCAAACAGCTAATTGTCTGTGTCAAGCATGTAATTGTCAGTGTCAAGCATGTAACTTTCAGTGTGTCAAACGTCTGTCAATGTGTCAAGCTCGAACTTTCAGTGTGTCAAATCTCTAATTGTCAGTGTGTCAAGCATGTATCTGTCAGTATGTCAAACATCTAACTGTCAGTGTGCCAAACGTCTGTCTGTGTGTCAAGCATGTAACTTTCAGTGAATCAAACATCTAATTGTCTGTGTGTCAAGCATGTAACTGTCATTGTGTCGAGCATGTAACTGTCAGTATGTCAAACATCTAACTGTCAGTGTGCCAAACGTCTGTCTGTGTGTCAAGCATGTAACTTTCAATGAATCAAACATTTAATTGTCTGTGTGTCAAGCATGTAACTGTCAGTGTGTCAAGCATGTAACTGTCAGTGTGTCGAGCATATAACTGTCAGTGTGTCAAACATCTGTCTGTGTATGAAGCATGTAAATGTCAGTGTGTCAAGCATCTAATTGTCAGTGTGTCTAGCATGTATCTGCCAGTGTGTCAATGATGTATCTTTCAGTGTGTCAAGCATGTAACTTTCAGTGTGTCAAACGTCTGTCTGTGTGTCAAGCATGTAACTTTCAGTGTGTCAAATCTCTAATTGTCTGTGTGTCAAGCATGTATCTGTCAGTATGTCAAACATCTAAATGTCCGTGTGTCAAACATCTGTCTCTGTGTATGTTACATGCATGTAACTGTCAGTGTGCCAAGTGTCTGTGTGTCAAACGTCTGTCTGTGTGTCAAGCATCTGTGAGTGTGTCAAGCATGTAAGTGCATGTGTGTCAAGCATGTAAGTGCATGTGTGTCAAGCATGTAAATATCAGTGTGTCAAGCATGTGGATGTCAGTGTGTCAAGCATGTAACTGTGTGTCAAGCATGTAACTGTATGTGTGTCAAGCATGTAACTGTCAGTGTGTCAAGTATGTACCTGTCAGTGCGTCAAGCATGTACCTGCCAGTCTGTCAAGCATGTACCTGTCAGTATGTCAATCATGTAACTGTCTGTGTGTCAATCATGTAACTGTCTGTGTGTCAATCATGTAACTGTGTGTCAAGCATGTAACTGTATGTGTGTCAAGCATGTAACTGTCAGTGTGTCAAGCATGTACCTGTCAGTGTGTCAAGCATGTACCTGTCAGTGTGTCAAGCATGTACCTGTCGGTATGTCAATCATGTAACTGTCAGTGTGTCAATTATGTAACTGTCAGTGTGTCAAGCATGTAACTGTCAGTGTGTCAAGCATGTAACTGTCTGTCAAGCATGTTACTGTCAGTGTGTATAGATTATGCCATGATATAGCACAAAATGGGTGGTTATAGTTGTCCTCACATTTTTCTTGCAGACAGTCTGTGTTTCTGTGTTTTCATGTATACAGGTATGTCACATGTAGATGTATTTGGCTGCATATTTGAAGTGTTTATATGGAACTGAGGTATAAGTTTCATATAATGTGGTTATTTTCCTGGTCAGCAACTACTTCTGTGTTAATAGAAATATTTGGTTGTTTGCAGTATGAACAAAAAGTAGAGAAGGGCCAAGAGGATTTTGAGAAGATATCTGACACAATAAGGAAGGAGATTCGTCGCTTCGAAAAGTATCGTGTCATTGACTTCAAAAACAGCGTGGTGAAATACTTAGAAGCTCTGATGGAGAACCAACAGAAGGTAGGCTGATGATATCCGTGTACTCACATAGCCGGAGACAGTCTGCCTCTGCATTCAGCAACTAATGTGATCTCAGAAGAGAGTCACTAGAGATATACTAGATTACTGAGTCACTAAAGATATACTTGAATACTGAGTCATTAGAGATATACTCAAATACTGAGTCACTAAAGATATACTAGAATGATGAGTCACAAGAGATATACTATAATAATGAGTCACAAGAGATATACTATAATACTGAGTCACTAGAGATATACTTGAATACTGAATCATTAGAGATATACTCGAATACTGAGTCACTAGAGATATACTAGAATACTGAGTCACTAGAGATATATAGAGAATACTACACGAGGTCTCATTACATACAGAATTATACGAAGCTAGTGTCCTTCCTATGGTATCTGACCGAGTTTAAAAGCGAGGTCAGATACCATAGGAAGGTCACGAAGTTTCAGATAATTGTGATGTAATGAGACCGAAAGTGTGGTATTTTATTTATTACCCACGTCTTACATGCATTTAAATTGACAAAAAGCGTATTTTTGTTATGTTTTTGGTTTCAAACCGAAAACCGGTTTCATAAAGAGGTTGAGGAAGAGTTTTGTACTGTAGTATAATATTTGCATGACGCCACACTAATGACGTCACTGCCATGGTAACCGACGTCACAATGCATGTCAGTTGTCATCGCCTCGTACAGCCTCCTACAGTAAACTGCTCCGTTGCACCTCGTTTCTTGGTTTCCAGTTGCTTCATTCGGCTAACATCACTGGTGGAAACATTGCGCTTATGTTTTTCGACAGATATAATGTCTCAGTTCGACTCACAATTAAACAGCGACACGGCAACGTTCGCAATGTTTACATTCCCACAATGCATTTAAGTTGTAGAATGAATGAATTCACGTGTTTGTTATGAATGAAAAAATAGTTACGTCAGAATGTCACCTAATTGAGAGGTCATCGGTTATCCAATCAAATTGTTAGAATCTCAGGTCAAGTCGTTATGACACAGGTCAACGCGATACGACACACGTGTGACGTACGAGATTAGTATGCAACTACCCATACGTTGACCACGTGGGTAATAAATTGGAATACTGAATCACTGGAGATATACTTGAAAACTGAGTCACTAAAAATATACTAGAATACTGAGTCACAAGAAATATACTAGAAAACTGAATCACTAGAGATATACTAGAATACTGAGTCATTAGAGATATACTCGAATACTGAATTACTAGAGATATACTAGAATACTCAGTCCCAATATATATACTTGAATACTGAGTCACTAGAGATATACTAGAATACTGAGTCACAAGAAATATACTTGAATACTGAATCACAAGAGATATACTAGAATACTGAGTCATTAGAGATATACTCGAATACTGAGTCACTAAAGATATACCAGAATAATGAGTCACAAGAGATATACTATAATACTGAGTCATTAGAGATATACTAGAATACTGAGTCACTAAAAATATACTAGAATAATGAGTCACAACAAATATACTATAATACTGAGTCACTAGAGATATATTGGAATACTGAATCACTGGAGATATACTAGAATACTGAGTCACTAAAGATATACTAGAATACTGAGTCACAAGAGATATACTAGAATACTGAGTCACAAGAAATATACTTGAATATTGAGTCACAAGAAATATACTAGAATACTGAGTCACTAGAGATATACTAGAATACAAAGTCACTAAAGATATACTAGAATACTTAGTCACAAGAGATATACTATAATACTGAGTGACTGGAGATTTATACTCGAATACTGAGTGACTAGAGACATACTTGGAGTCACTAACATTACACTTAAACACTGAGTGACTCTAGTTGTACACTAACAGTTCTATCTGTGTGACTCTTTCGTTGTTTAACTTTAACTGAAAAACCCTGTGGAGCTAGGTTATAAAACAGTTTTATTGTTGTCATTTTTTTATTTACTGTGATGATGATATGCTGAATGTTTCTACTTTCAGATGATAAAGTTCTGGGAAACATTCCTGCCTGAGGCCAAAGCTATTGCATGATACCCCAAGGTGTTCAGAAATTGTACAGTGGACATCTACTACAATAATCAATATTTAATTTACATTGTCCTTCAGTTCTGAAGCTTGTTTTCAAGCTAGTCAGTGAGTCTGGTTTTGTACTGCATAACAACTTGATCCCAGCTGCTGGTGTCACTCACTAACCCTGGAGTGAGTCTATCTCACTGACATTCATTGTACACAACCACTGCCCCACAAATTAAACAATTATCGACAATACTACTGTCCCAGGGTCTCAGGTGTGCTCACAGATTTGTTGTTAAGATTTACACATTTCCTATATGCTGTCCATGTCAAGGTGTAGACTGTCAACATCTGGGCACAAATGGATCTTTTGGATACAAATTGCTAGATGTACACTTGCCTTATTAAGCTCTTAGACTAAGTCAGAGGATTTATTTTCTGATGAATAGGTTCAAATATGTGATATTGTATATTCTTCATAACATTCAGTTATTAAACAAGTTGAACACACTTGAAATGAAAAACATCCTTACCGATAGCTTTTCGATTAGCTTCTCTTAGCGAGCAAATGTTTCAACAGCTGCCTCACTTAGTTTCATGAGAAATGTAACAGGATGTGTGTTAAAGTCATAATAGAGCACAGCAAGAGCTGAAGCATCTGCATGTGTCATCTCCATGTCTGATAAGCAGGGTCTTGTCACGCACATCCATACGGAATGAGTGGTGGCATTGTGTCTGATCATACTACTGTTTATCAACACAACTGTATGTTATTGTACACTTGCATTGGTACAGACATGGCTTCATGATACGTCCGGCATCATCAGTGGTTCACAGGGTTGTCTGTTCCACCGCAGCCCACTTGTCAAAGTGTTGGTGGGTCGTTGTGGGTCATGTTGGAATGTAATGTTCACAAACCCTTGCAGTATTGCTGGTGTACCAAGGAGACATCGGAACTATGCACACAGAAAGGTTCCTGCTTCACCTTCTTCACCTTCTTCACATCTACCTGTAATACTGATCATAGTCTCACTACTTGCACATCCACCACATCTACCAAACAATGACTGAGACGGACCAGTGTACTCCACATGCACAATTAGATGGTGCCTGGCACGTACAAGGAGGGAGTTTCCTGATGATGCCAGTTTGCGTCTCATTCATTGCTCACAAGTAGATTTATAATAGTCAATTAATATGCATTTTAGGAAAGTATTATCATTGTACAAATTAAATTTGCAAGGTGATTTTAGAATAATTTGTTGTAAATCTTTTATTATGATATGGATCAAGGACTATTGTTTTATGCTACTCAATATCTTCAGAGATAAGTCATGGTACTTCTACCAACTGTGCAATTGTTTTCTACTGTAACAAACTCTGCAGTTTCAGGTGATTTTAGTGTGTCAAGATGGCTCCCCAAAAGAGTATTGATGTCAGCACATGTATTATTTAGCTTTGTGTGAGTCTGTGGCGCTTCTGTGACTTGTACATTTCATGCCGCTCTGTACTTGTTACATTGTGTACATCTCATGTTGAATGAACAATGTATTTGTTACAACATTTTGTCCTTGAGTTTTCTTTGACCGGAGAATACAGACAGTATGAAAGGAAGAAGATACAGACACAATGAGATGTAGACAAGCTATTTGGGTATGAATTGTGAAGCACTCACAATTTTGGTTGAAATATTCAGTAGGGACTGGACATGTGTAATGGTGAATGAGATTAGTCTAAGGAGTCTATCATATTTTGCACTACCCACATGTCCCCCTCCTCAAATACATAAATACATGTAACACTTTTATCTCCCACCGCGCATTTAGCGCGAAGCAGGGGATATAGTATTAGGCTCCGTCTGTCCGTCTGTACAGACGGACGAATTGGAATATCTTTAGAGCTGTTGACTGGATTCTTTTCATATTTGGTACCTAGGTTCATCACAGTAAAAGAAAGGTCCCAGTCAGGTTTGGTGACCTTGACCTTCATTTCAAGGTCACAAGGGGACTTTAACGTTTTAGCCTTGTCAGCGAGATATCTCAAGAACCGTTCACTGGATTTTCTTCATATTAGCTTTATCTAGGAAAGGCAGAGGGCCCAGTCGATTTTGGTGACCTTCACCTAATTTTCATGGTCATGGCGACACTTTGAAGACTTCAGCATGTTAACCTGCATGTAATGATTGTCAGCTAGATATCTCAAGAACCATTTACTGGACTTTCTTCATATTTGACACCACGCTTCATCTGGGGAAGGTGTAAGTTCCAGTCGATTTTGGTGACCTTCACATAATTTTCAAGGTCACGGCGACGCTTTGAAATTTTTGCATATTTCATACACTAAGACATTCATGTCAAGGTCAAAGTGAGTCTTGAAAATATTTGTGCGTTTAAACAACTACAGAGCAAGATATCAAGAGAGGTTGACTGGTCATGATTTTGTTGACATTTAACGTCATCTTAAATTACGACCTTCACTTTCATTACTTTATAAGTTTGATTTGATAATTTGCGGCGGGGGATTATGTCACCTTAGTGACAATGTTGTTCTCACAAGCATTTTTAAACAAATTGAAATAGAAATAATGCCCGTCCTCTTTCTTATTTTCATGGTCTCCCTTTAAATCATACTTATCATCACCCCTTCCCCTGGAATCAATGAAATGACAGTATACCTGCACGACAGCCAAAATTTAATGATTTCACTTGTCTTCAGGTTGATTCCTTTTTTCATATTTCTGAGAAGAAAGCTGTACTGTAATACTAGGGACAAAACTCCATTATCCTTACCTGAGTCTGAGTGAGTTTAGTTTTACGCCCCACTCAGCAATTTTTCAGCTATATGGCGGCGGTCTGTAAATAATTGAGTCTGGACCAGACAATCCAGTGATCAACAACATGAGCATCGATCTGCGCAATTGGGAACCAATGACATGTGTCAACCAAGTCAGCGAGCCTGACCACCCAATCCCGTTAGTCGCCTCTTATGACAAGCATAGTCGCCTTTTGTGGCAAGCATGGGTTGCTGAAGACCTATTCTACCCCGGATCTTCACGGGTCACCCGAGTCTAAGCTAACCTGGTTTGTAGTACAATGGATTGGGTAGTTCGACTGCATGACTTGGCTGACTGAATCATTCCCAGTCTCCTACCTGTGATCTCATTGAACACACTCTCTCTCCAAGGACGCTGTTTAGGGACATCCTGTGTCAGAAACAGTACACATTCCAGTCCTATTGAGGGGTTTAATCCCACTCTTTAAAAGTCAAACACCTGGTAGCCAGCACACAAAGTTAGCGATCTAACCCACTCAACCATCGCAGCTTCCACAGAAACCGAACTCGGACAACCGGTAGTCTGGATCAGGTACTTTGTGTGTGTCTCTGACAAATGTAATTGATTAATTCAAATGAAAATTTAGAAAAATATAATATGTTATATTTGGGATTATGATTTTCTGAGAAAGTGCTATCCCAACTATAACATGTAGTACATTAATAATTGTACATGGAGTTCATATGCAATGTTTATTTTTGTGGATTCCTGCAGCTGTGTATAGCCACATACTGTAGCTAATTTATACTACCAACAACAAGTATGGGAACACCCAAAAGTTTGGTAGTCATATATAGACGTAAACGTGGTGAGGTCATTTATACTCTAAGGTAAATGCAACTTTTTGTGTGCTTAATGGGCACTTTCAACGAAATGTTAGAACTTGCAGCGAAGCAACTCATTCAATATTCGTTGAGTTTGAGTGAAATGAAACATTGTCAAAACAGCGAAAAACATGGGTGATGAAACACACCAACACCATTTTTTATTCAAACACCCAAACACAACAGACTAGTGCATGTGATTGCTTAGGTGAGTTTGTACGTATTACGGTAATGTTGCGTACTGATGTATAATGCTGCCATATTCCACAGGCAGCTTCATCAGTGTGACTTGGACAGTACCTACCCGCTGTTCAATACACAATCAGAAAGTCCTGTGAGGCATAAGTACAATCAGTGAGTTTGTTGCACGATGTTCATGGTTCTTATTGCATTGTCCATTTGTGTCTTCTTTGTGGTCTCTTTTTGTATGCGAAAAAGGCTTAAATCATTTTCAGTTTGTAAATCTTTATTGCACTTTATACAGTTAATCCGGACATTCAAAACAACATGTATCGCCAAACTGTTGGTCCATGACTTTAAATTGGAGTTTGGACAGTCAACAGCTCGCCATGGAGAAAGTGACAAATGTGAGGTTAGCTATATCTCTCTCACCACCATCACCACTCAAACTACACGTGGTCCTTTGTCTGGGACCCTGGCTCCACATAATGATTGAATGTCCACATCTGAGACGCACGGCCTCGCTCACACTGCGACATCACGGGTCCCTGCTCACCAGCATCCAGGCAGAGCTTCGTCCGGTCATGAACCAGCCACGAGTTCTGCAACAAGGGATGCACTCGTTACGGCATGAACATAGGGATGTATGCGTTACGTTAGGAACGTGGGGATGTACGCGTTACGTCAGGAACATGGGGATGTACGCGTTGCATCAGGAACATAGGGATGTACACGTTGCATCAGGAACATGGAGATGTACGCATTGTGGCAGGAACATGGAGATGCACGAACGACAGGAACATGGGATGATGTACGCGTTACGACAGGAACATGGGATGGTGTACGCGTTACGACAGGAACATGGGATGATGTACGCGTTACGGCAGAAACATGGGCATGTACGCGTTACAGCAGGAACATGGGCATGTACTCATAACGTCAGAAACATGGTGATGCACGCGTTACGGCAGGAATATGGGCATGTACTCGTTACGTCAGGAACATGGTGATGCACGCGTTACGGCAGAAACATGGTGATGTACGCGTTACGATAGGAACATGGTGATGCACGCGTTACGGCAGGAACATGGGGATGTACGCATTACAGCAGGAACATGGGCATGTACTCGTTACGTTAGGAACATGGGGATGTACGCGTTACGTCAGGAACATGGGGATGTACGCGTTGCATCAGGAACATAGGGATGTACACGTTGCATCAGGAACATGGAGATGTACGCATTGTGGCAGGAACATGGAGATGCACGAACGACAGGAACATGGGATGATGTACGCGTTACGACAGGAACATGGGATGGTGTACGCGTTACGACAGGAACATGGGATGATGTACGCGTTACGGCAGAAACATGGGCATGTACGCGTTACAGCAGGAACATGGGCATGTACTCATAACGTCAGAAACATGGTGATGCACGCGTTACGGCAGGAATATGGGCATGTACTCGTTACGTCAGGAACATGGTGATGCACGCGTTACGGCAGAAACATGGTGATGTACTCGATAAGACAGGAACATGGTGATGCACGCGTTACGGCAGGAACATGGGCATGTACGCGTTACGACAGGAACATGGGATGATGTACGCGTTACAACAGGAACATGGGATGATGTACGCGTTACGGCAATAACATAGGGATGTACGCATTACGGCAGAAACATGGGGATGTACGCGTTACGACAGAAACATGGGCATGTACTCATCACGTCAGGAACATGGTGATGCACGCGTTACGGCAGGAACATGGGGATGTACGCGTTACGTCAGGGACATGGGGATGTACGCGTTACGGCAGAAACATGGTGATGCACGCGTTACGGCAGGAATATGGGCATGTACGCGTTACGGCAGAAACATGGGGATGTACTCGTTACGGCAGGAACATGGGGATGTACGCGTTACGGCAGAAACATGGGCATGTACTCATTACGTCAGGAACATGGGGATGTACGCGTTGCATCAGGAACATAGGGATGTACACGTTGCATCAGGAATATGGGGATGTACGCGTTACGACAGGAACATGAGGATGTGCGCGTTACGACAGGAACATGGTGATGCACGCGTTACGACAGATACATGGGGATGTACGCGTTACGTCAGGAACATGGGGATATACTCGGTACGATAGGAACATGGTGATGCACGCGTTACGGCAGAAACATGGTGATGTACGCGTTACATCACGAACATGGGGTGATTTACGGGTTACGGCAGAAAAAGGGGGCGATGTACGGGTTACGGCAGAAAGAAGTGGATGATGTACGGGTTACGACAGAACATGGTGATATACGTGTTAGGGTAGAAACGTGGGAATATACACGCGTTACAAGGGTGCCTATACCGTAAGACTGAACTGTAACTAGGGTCACCCTGACCATATAATGCTCGTATTACCGGCCTGTGTGTCCAGGTGCTCGGGGTGCCTACACCGTAAGACTGCAGGGTAGGTTTCTGTCCAGCTTTTTCTCCGTCAAAGACTACAGACGTCAGAGAGGTGCGCAGGTGGCCCTTCGTGGTCACTGAAAACCCCTGGAAAAAGAACGTAGGTAATGAAAGAAGGACACGCGCTGATAGGAAACATTATGGTCACCATCATGTCTTTGCGAAGGATTATTCGTGTTGTTTTTTCTGACAAGTAGTATCACACACCAATCTCCCCACCATTCTCAACCAGTTGTACTATGCAACTGCCACCCCATTGTTGCCTGTGACGCCATACGCACTTTATGTTGAGAAATACCCATTGCTGTGATACACGTAATACTGCCTGTGATACCCGTATCAAATACATCATCATCTAACAAAACATTGTGTACTTGCTTCATTTTAGACAAACATGTTTGTATACTTTCTTTTGTCGAACAGTCGACCGTCTCCGTGGTGTAGGGGTTAGAGCGTCCGCCCGGAGAGCGGAAGGTCGCGGGTTCGATCCCCGACTGCGTCATACAAAAAGACGTTAAAATATGGTACTTGTTGGCCCTGTCTGGCGCTCGGCATTAATGGGTACATCAAGGACTGGTCGGCTCGGAGTCAGCATAATGTGTCTGAGTGGGGTATTCATGCTTCTCTGCGGCATGGTATCTCAGTGGGCTAGCACTGTAAAACCAGCTTAAGTCTGGGCTAGTACAAGCAACCGCACATACACATACACACGCATGCACGTCGTCATATGAGCGAAATATTCTCAAGCACGACGTAAAACCCAATTTCACAGCAATAGGTTTGGCATAACACACCCTTCAAAACTGGTATCAGACATGAGTGTGAGATCGACTTCCATGTACGTGACTGGCTACTCCATGATCTAAGCACCATCGTAAATATTGTGGCACCTATCGTGCAACGCCAGCCTGCGCAAGCGTTGTAATATCTTACACATTAAAGTGCGATATCATTCACACAGTTCAGTCGTTAATCCCCAAGAGGTGTTTCTTTGAGGAAACAACATTACACGTAACTTTCTCTCCAATCGGTTGATTTTGTTAACATTATAACAATAAATTTGATCAAGTCAAGGCTCTTGAAGATACAAGTTTATGGTATATTGTTAGACGCAGTTCTTTACACAAAAGAAGGGTACAAGAAGAATCAACATCTGAGTGGCGATATAATGAACTTTACTGACAATACAACAGAAGTACTAAAACAGCAGCAATATCATTGATCAGGTCCTCAACGAATGTCTTCGTGATTGATGACAGACTATGTTCACAAACAGTTGTTTACATGTATAACATGCAACATCCTACAGGTGTGGAATTTCTCAGTTACTGCATGCAAGGACCGACATTCAACATCTGCGACGGAAATATATATTACATAAAAATTATTATTTGCAAGTCAAAACATTTTGCATATATGATAATGCATAATGCATAGAGATGCAAAATCGTTTTGGATAAATATTTTGTAAGGTTCCATGAGCATCACAATGTAATTTTATCCTTTTTTATGAAAGACCATTTTTGTACTGAGCAATCATGTTTTCCTGCAAACGGATAAGAATTTAGAACAATGTAAATTACACTATTCTTACGATTAATGTCTGGTTACCGTCTACAAACCGTTGAATAATGCTTCAAGTTAAACATTTTGATATGGGAATGCACGTTATTAAACATACACAATGAGCATTGAAACCATGTTGCTTGTTACACACGCAGACCAACTTGATCATAAAACTTGGCTAAAGTCAGGTAAATGTTAATCCAGCTGTAAACAATCAAAACTAGTATTTGTATGGTTTGACTCACATGTCTGTCGTGGAACAGTCCCTAGCCAATTGAAATATCAACCAAACGCAGCTTTAAATGCTTACAGGCCGAAATGAATGTCATGTGCCAATCTCCATCATTACTATCAACGTGTGTGACCCGCCCAAGATGCCAGTCTACTGAGGAGATAATAGCTGTCCATTCCCCTTCAGTAAAATTCGGAGGCGAGAAAGCGAGAAAGCGATATCACAAGACGAGAAAGCGATAACACGAGACGAGAAAGCGATAACACGAGACGAGAAAGCGATACCACGAGACCCCTAATCAGCCACCATACTTCAGTCATCTGAACAATGCGCTGTTTTCCCATCATCAGCAGTGGCAGTGCCTTCAAGCGCCCCCTGTCCATGTTGGTTGTTCTCATCGTTCACACCGCTCTATTCAATTTCTGTGATGTCATGACTTGGTGGTACCTCTAATATTGAAATGACGGCTTCGTTGTTTGCAACAGGTGTCGCTTTCTTCACATCAGCTACTGTCCAGTCACTGTGGTAGTGATGAGAAAGACTCACATTATTACAGTAGCATGGCGTGGTACGTGTTCTGACGACCCCAGCAGGGACAGGGACTATCGCATATAGTCCCTGTCGGGTTCCTTTAATCGGAACTACGTTCTTGTTCATTTAATTCCATAGGTCACAAACATGTACTATGTGTAGCGGCCATAAAATTTCCGAGTCCCGTGCTGGGATTCGAACCACGAACCTTCTATTCCGAAGTCGGACGCCTTGTCCACATGACCAAATAGGTTAGCCCCGTCAGCAAGCTGACAAGGTAAGGATGTCATCTGTTGGATGACGCCACGCCCTGCTACATATGCACGCAAGTGAAACTTTTGTTCACATGCAAGAAGTCATTAGGATCCCGGATGCTAGTTTTGCCTTGCTTGACAGACAATTTAGCCATTCTTTTTGCTGTGCCCCCAACCCCAACAAGCGTCCCGTTTTCGTGACCTTCCTCAAAGTATTTCCAGCACGCTGAAGAATGCCGACTTGTTTCCATACTGTGAACAGGGGCTCTCTGTCCCGTGGAGCATTGCCGTTGTCTTTCTGCAATTCTGGAATTAGGGTCCTTATGATTGCGCATACAGTTCCAACGTAATGATTTAAACAGTCAGATTGTGGTTCAGTCCTTTGTGAGTTCCTTATTTGTGGTATGCAACAACTGGGTGAAGAGTAACACTGAGGTTTTCAGCGAAGCCCATTTGGACAACCACGTGACCCCCTGGAAGATTTGCCGTCTAATCCAATTATTGCCTTATATTGATCCTTGACGCTGCCAACATGGTTCACAGAGTTTACAGAACATATTCGCCTGAACTTATTCCTGAACGTCTTTGGTTCGCTTCTTCCCGTCTGGAAATTCACTTTTCTGCCACTTCTCACAGACAACTGTTTCTGCTCTTATTGCTGTTGATGATTCTGTAGGTGTAGTGGCGGTCAGGTACCGAAAATATATTCGTCATGGTTCAGTGGCACATCACACCCTGCAGTCTTCATTGATTTTAAGAACAGGGCCATGTTTTGATGTTTGTGGCAAAGACACTGATTCCGTGAAATATGGCGTGTTAATGCGATGTAGCTGGGCCTGATTCTGCAGAAGGCCTGTCATGACATTTTGATGATAGGCTGGAAAGAAACTTCAAATGCAAGTATGACATGCTACCACTAAGAACCCCTTCTGATGTTTAATGCTGTGGTTTGTCGTGGTGTCGCCCTTGCCAGGAAGTTAGCGGTTATTATTGTCCCTTTCAAGAAAGGCAATGACTTCGAGATTGTCCTGACTGAAATTCGTTGATACGGTACTCGTACTTCAATTGAACGCAGACCTGTTGCTCGTGGCAAACACCTACATATCAACATGTTATTTACCTGTATCGCAAACAGGTAATTATGAAATAAAACAACCTTAAGACCGATAACAACATGAATCTATTGTTTACTGCACTCGTGTCTGCCTGATACCATTTATCTTTCATATCGTAGTTTCTAAACGTATCCAACGAGCGAAAGCGGAAGCTCGAGTAACATCAATGGTATCTGACAAACACAGATGTAGTAATCTCTACGTATTTCATCACGCACATTTATACACCTTGCATGACCTGTGGCCTATCCGTGGTGTTTCATCCTACATTACCTGTGTAAAGAGGAGGTAGTGGCATCCATACAGGTACAGCTCCCCAGGATATAGGGAACCAACGTTATCTAAGCACGTGTTAGTGTGCTGATTTCGGGCCTGAAAAGGAAAGCAGATCACCCGTGTGTCAAGGTTGGAACCTGCAGCTGTCTTTCAATACTTGACACGTTCGTTATTTTGAAATGAGAGGTCTCGATCAGAGTTTCGTTGCCTTTACATTACAGGTTACACAACAACATCACCGATTGCCCGCAGCAATCGACCAGCGACAATAGCCTGAAGGTAACATTGTAAATACAGGACTCTGGAAACAACCAGAAGAGTAACATGGTACATACAGACCCCGGGCAACATCCACGTGATAACATGGTACATACTAACTTCCAAGCAACAACCACATGGTAACATGGTACATACTGACTTCCAAACAACAACTACATGGTAACATGGTACATACTGACTTCCAAGCAACAACTACATGGTAACATGGTACATACTGACTTCCAAGCAACAACCATATGGTAACATGGTACATACTGACTTCCAAGCAACAACTACATGGTAACATGGTACATACTGACTTCCAAGCAACAACTACATGGTAACATGGTACATACTGACTTCCAAGCAACAACCATATGGTAACATGGTACATACTGATCCTAGGCAACAACTACATGGTAACATGGTACATACTGACTTCCAAACAACAACTCCATGGTAACATGGTACATACTGACTCCAAGCAACAACCACATGGTAACATGGTACATACCGACTTCCAAGCAACAACCACATGGTAACATGGTACATACTGACTTCCAAGCAACAACTACATGGTAACATGGTACATACTGACTTCCAAGCAACAACTGCATGGTAACATGGTACATACTGACTTCCAAGCAACAACTACATGGTAACATGGTACATATTGACTTCCAAGCAACAACCACATGGTAACATGGTACATACTGACTTCCAAGCAACAACTGCATGGTAACATGGTACATACTGACTTCCAAGCAACAACCACATGGTAACATGGTACATACTGACTTCCAAGCAACAACTACATGGTAACATGGTACATACTGACTTCCAAGCAACAACCACATGGTAACATGGTACATACTGACTTCCAAGCAGCAACTCCATGGTAACATGGTACATACTGACTTCCAAGCAACAACCACATGGTAACATGGTACATACCGACCCCCAGGCAACAACGCCGACGTCATACATCAACAGCTCCGGCCAGACATTGTCTATGTACCAGGAGAAATCCTTACTTCCAAACAACAACCACATGGTAACATGGTACATACCGACCCCCAGGCAACAACGCCGACGTCATACATCAACAGCTCCGGCCAGACATTGTCTATGTACCAGGAGAAGTCTTTACATTTCAGTTGTTCTTTCAGATGTAGTCGATTTGAAATGTCACCAACGTCAAGGCCCTGCAAAATAACCAATGCTGAACTGACGGCAAAGACAGTTGCCCTTTTCACAATTTGCAAGAAGAAATTAAACAATACACCATGTCAATTCAAAACATATTGTCTAAACACAGATATTCTCTCTGCTGAAAGAGATACAACACGTGAAAAACACGTGACGCTCGGACATATGTGCAAGTGTGTGTGTGTGTGTGACGTCATAAGTGCTCACTCTGATGAAAGTGACGTCACTGATGTGCTACGACTGAACCCGCGCACCCTGGGTTTGACGTCACTGATGTGCTACGACTGAACCCGAGCACCCTGGGTGGGATGTCACTGATGTGCTACGACTGAACCCGAGCACCCTGGGTTGGACGTCACTGATGTGCTACGACTGAACCCGAGCACCCTGGGTGGGACGTCACTGATGTGCTACGACTGAACCCGAGCACCCTGGGTGGGATGTCACTGACGTGCTACGACTGAACCCGAGCACCCTGGGTGGGACGTCACTGATGTGCTGCGACTGAACCCGGGCTCCCTGGGTGGGACGTCACTGATGTAGTACGACTGAACCCGAGCACCCTGGGTGGGATGTCACCGATGTGCTACGACTGAACCTGAGCACCCTGGGTGTGATACAGGCAGAACACGATCAGGCAGACCGAGGGTAACTATGCCTCTTTCCTCTTCAATTCCTGAAAGTGACGTCACCGTACGGTTGAGGGGTTGTAATGCTGTGGGGATGAATTTGTGGACAGGAGAGGACACCACTGGTCATCAGACAGCTCAGCGTTACATGGAGGGCAGTCTTCTTACAAAGAGGTTTCTTTTATCAGAATGTCAACGTCAGACCCCATACAGCCCAAAATGACCTTGCAGACAACAACGTCAACGTGTTGCCGTGGCTTACACGCTCCCCCAGGCGTGTCCCCCATAGAAGTGATCACTCTGATGAGAGTGACGTCACTGATGTGCTACGACTGAACCCTAGCACCCTGGGTTTGACGTCACTGATGTACTACGACTGAACCCGAGCACCCTGGGTGGGATGTCACTGATGTGCTACGACTGAACCCGAGCACCCTGGGTGGGACGTCACTTATGTGCTACGACTGAACCCGGGCTCCCTGGGTTGGACGTCACTGACGTGCTACGACTGAACCCGAGCACCCTGGGTTTGACGTCACTGATGTGCTACGACCGAACCCGAGCACCCTGGGTGGGACGTCACTGATGTGCTGCGACTGAACCCGAGCACCCTGGGTGGGACGTCACTGATGTACTACGACTGAACCCGAGCACCCTGGGTTGGACGTCACTGATGTGCTACGACTGAACCCGAGCACCCTGGGTGGGACGTCACTGATGTGCTACGACTGAACCTGAGCACCCTGGGTGGGACGTCACTGATGCGCTGCGACTGAACCCGAGCACCCTGGGTGGGACGTCACTGATGTGCTACGACTGAACCCGAGCACCCTGGGTGGGACGTCACTGATGTGCTACGACTGAACCCGAGCACCCTGGGTGGGACGTCACTGATGTGCTACGACTAAACCCGGGCTCCCTGGGTGGGACGTCACCGATGTGCCGCGACTGAACCCGAGCACCCTGGGTGGGACGTCACCGATGTGCTACGACTGAACCCGAGCACCCTGGGTGGGACGTCACTGATGTGCTACGACTGAACCCGAGCACCCTGGGTGGGACGTCACCGATGTGCTACGACTGAACCTGAGCACCCTGGGTGGGACGTCACTTATGTGCTACGACTGAACCCGAGCACCCTGGGTTGGACGTCACCGATGTGCTACGACTGAACCCGAGCACCCTGGGTGGGACGTCACTGATGTGCTGCGACTGAACCCGAGCACCCTGGGTGGGACGTCACTGATGTAGTACGACTGAACCCGAGCACCCTGGGTGGGATGTCACCGATGTGCTACGACTGAACCTGAGCACCCTGGGTGTGATACAGGCAGAACACGATCAGGCAGACCGAGGGTAACTATGCCTCTTTCCTCTTCAATTCCTGAAAGTGACGTCACCGTACGGTTGAGGGGTTGTAATGCTGTGGGGATGAATTTGTGGACAGGAGAGGACACCACTGGTCATCAGACAGCTCAGCGTTACATGGAGGGCAGTCTTCTTACAAAGTGGTTTCTTTTATCAGAATGTCAACGTCAGACCCCATACAGCCCAAAATGACCAAAAACCTTGCAGACAACAACGTCAACGTGTTGCCGTGGCTTACACGCTCTCCCAGGCGTGTCCCCCATAGAAGTGATCACTCTGATGAGAGTGACGTCACTGATGTGCTACGACTGAACCCTAGCACCCTGGGTTTGACGTCACTGATGTACTACGACTGAACCCGAGCACCCTGGGTTTGACGTCACTGATGTGCTACGACTGAACCCGAGCACCCTGGGTGGGATGTCACTGATGTGCTACGACTGAACCCGAGCACCCTGGGTGGGACGTCATTGATGTGCTACGACTGAACCCGAGCACCCTGGGTTGGACGTCACTGATGTGCTACGACTGAACCCGGGCTCCCTGGGTGGGACGTCACTGATGTGCTACGACTGAACCCGAGCACCCTGGGTTTGACGTCACTGATGTGCTACGAGTAAACCCGGGCTCCCTGGGTTGGACGTCACTGATGTGCTACGACTGAACCCGAGCACCCTGGGTGGGACGTCACTGATGTGCTACGACTGAACCCGAGCACCCTGGGTGGGACGTCACTGATATGCTACGACTGAACCCGAGCAACCTCGGTTGGACGTCACTGATGTGCTACGACTGAACCCGAGCACCCTGGGTGGGACGTCACTGATGTGCTACGACTGAACCCGAGCACCCTTGCAGACAACAAAGTCAACGTGTTGCCGTGGCTTGCACTCTCCCCCAGGCGTGTCCCCCATAGAACACCTCTGGGATGTCATGTATCGTCGTGTTCGACAGTGACCACACATTGTCCAGACAGTCGACACGAACTGAGCAAACACATTAGGGCAGGTGTCATACCAATATATTGCCCGGTGTATGACTGTCATCAACACACATATGTTATGCATGACTTTCATAAATACACATATGTTATGTATGACTTTCATAAACACGCATACGTTATGCATGACTTTCATAAACACGCATACGTTATGTATGACTGTCATTTTCAATGTTTTTTAGGCTTGCATCTTTTCAATACGTTAGTTCATACAATCAATCTTTTGTGGTTGGTAAACTCCCTGTAAGAGGCGACTAATGGGATCACGTACTGTACATGGTACAAGGTACATGACCTTGGCTGCTGCAGATTAAAGCAAATAACAAAACGTGGCTACATTTAAAAAGATCAAATTTTGATGTGCAAAGGTCAATTGTATACGGTGCGGAGAAGTATGTTTTGAACATATTCCATCTACATTGCCCGAAATAACTGAAGGCTGACCTACCTCCATGTCTGGATAGCTCTGGTACACATATCTCTTGAGGGATCCCAACCAAACGTCGACGGCCCGCTTGTAGTTGAACATTTCTACCTGCTGCCTCCCCTCAGGAAAGGAGTACGGCTGTGTCCGGGCGATGTGCCCCATGTGAGAACAAGGAACATGGACCAGCTGTCCCCCACACAGCCACACCTGTAAGATGGGGTTTACCTGGGGTTCAAATACATTCTACTTATTGTTATAATGTTCATCCTTTAAGATACACCTGGGAACTATTTAAGCACCCCACCCCTACCCAAAGAACCGTTTTATCGACCCTGTGTGTTCAACAGCACGGTTTGATAAACTCACAAATATGATGTAAAAAGTAGATCCTACCGAGGAATCAATGTCTGCTTGAAACTGACGGAGTACTGTATAACACCCTTTCAGCAACACTGAATCAGACACTTTCAGCAGTACTGTATAACACCCTTTCAGCAATACTGTATAACACCCTTTCAGCAACACTGAATCAGACACTTTCAGCAATACTGTATAACACCCTTTCAGCAATACTGTATAACACCCTTTCAGCAACACTGAATCAGACACTTTCAGCAATACTGTATAACACCCTTTCAGCAACACTGAATCAGACACTTTTTAGCAATACTGTATAACACCCTTTCAGCAGTACTGTATAACACCCTTTCAGCAACACTGAATCAGACACTTTCAGCAATACTGTATAACACCCTTTCAGCAACACTGAATCATACACTTTCAGCAGTACTGTATAACACCCTTTCAGCAGTACTGTATAACACCCTTTCAGCAACACTGAATCAGACACTTTCAGCAATACTGTATAACACCCTTTCAGCAACACTGAATCAGACACTTTCAGCAATACTGTATAACACCCTTTCAGCAACACTGAATCAGACACTTTCAGCAATACTGTATAACACACTTTCAGCAACACTGAATCAGACACTTTCAGCAATACTGTATAACACCCTTTCAGCAGTACTGTATAACACCCTTTCAGCAACACTGAATCAGACACTTTCAGCAATACTGTATAACACACTTTCAGCAACACTGAATCAGACACTTTCAGCAATACTGTATATCACCCTTTCAGCAGTACTGTATAACACCCTTTCAGCAACACTGAATCAGACACTTTCAGCAATACTGTATAACACCCTTTCAGCAACACTGAATCAGACACTTTCAGCAATACTGTATAACACACTTTCAGCAACACTGAATCAGACACTTTCAGCAATACTGTATAACACCCTTTCAGCAACACTGAATCAGACACTTTCAGCAATACTGTATAACACACTTTCAGCAACACTGAATCAGACACTTTCAGCAATACTGTATAACACCCTTTCAGCAGTACTGTATAACACCCTTTCAGCAACACTGAATCAGACACTTTCAGCAATACTGTATAACACACTTTCAGCAACACTGAATCAGACACTTTCAGCAAAACTGTATAACACCCTTTCAGCAATACTGTATAACACCCTTTCAGCAACACTGAATCAGACACTTTCAGCAATACTGTATAACACACTTTCAGCAACACTGAATCAGACACTTTCAGCAATACTGTATAACACCCTTTCAGCAGTACTGTATAACACCCTTTCAGCAACACTGAATCAGACACTTTCAGCAGTACTGTATAACACCCTTTCAGCAGTACTGTATAACACCCTTTCAACCACACTGAATCAGACACTTTCAGCAATACTGTATAACACCCTTTCAGCAACACTGAATCAGACACTTTCAGCAGTACTGTATAACACCCTTTCAGCAGTACTGTATAACACCCTTTCAGCAACACTGAATCAGACACTTTCAGCAGTACTGTATAACACCCTTTCAGCAGTACTGTATAACACCCTTTCAGCAACACTGAATCAGACACTTTCAGCAATACTGTATAACACCCTTTCAGCAACACTGAATCAGACACTTTCAGCAGTACTGTATAACACCCTTTCAGCAGTACTGTATAACACCCTTTCAGCAACACTGAATCAGACACTTTCAGCAATACTGTATAACACCCTTTCAGCAACACTGAATGAGACACTTTCAGCAATACTGTATAACACACTTTCAGCAACACTGAATCAGACACTTTCAGCTATACTGTATAACACCCTTTCAGCAGTACTGTATAACACCCTTTCAGCAACACTGAATCAGACACTTTCAGCAATACTGTATAACACCCTTTCAGCAACACTGAATCAGACACTTACAGCAAAACTGTATAACACCCTTTCAGCAACACTGAATCAGACACTTTCAGCAATACTGTATAACACCCTTTCAGCAACACTGAATCAGACACTTTCAGCAATACTGTATAACGCCCTTTCAGCAACACTGAATCAGACACTTTCAGCAATACTGTATAACACCCTTTCAGCAACACTGAATCAGACACTTTCAGCAATACTGTATAACACCCTTTCAGCAGTACTGTATAACACCCTTTCAGCAACACTGAATCAGACACTTTCAGCAATACTGTATAACACCCTTTCAGCAACACTGAATCAGACACTTTCAGCAATACTGTATAACACACTTTCAGCAACACTGAATCAGACACTTTCAGCAATACTGTATAACACCCTTTCAGCAGTACTCGTATAACACCCTTTCAGCAACACTGAATCAGACACTTTCAGCAATACTGTATAACACCCTTTCAGCAACACTGAATCAGACACTTTCAGCAATACTGTATAACACCCTTTCAGCAGTACTGTATAACACCCTTTCAGCAACACTGAATCAGACACTTTCAGCAATACTGTATAACACACTTTCAGCAACACTGAATCAGACACTTTCAGCAATACTGTATAACACCCTTTCAGCAATACTGTATAACACCCTTTCAGCAACACTGAATCAGACACTTTCAGCAAAACTGTATAACACCCTTTCAGCAATACTGAATCAGACACTTTCAGCAATACTGTATAACACCCTTTCAGCAATACTGTATAACACCCTTTCAGCAACACTGAATCAGACACTTTCAGCAATACTGTATAACACCCTTTCAGCAACACTGAATCAGACACTTTCAGCAATACTGTATAACACCCTTTCAGCAGTACTGTATAACACCCTTTCAGCAACACTGAATCAGACACTTTCTGCAAAACTGTATAACACCCTTTCAGCAACACTGAATCAGACACTTTCAGCAATACTGTATAACACACACTTTCAGCAGTACTGTATAACTCCCTTTCAGCAACACTGAATCAGACACTTTCAGCAATACTGTATAACACCCTTTCAGCAACACTGAATCAGACACTTTCAGCAATACTGTATAACACCCTTTTAGCAACACTGAATCAGACACTTTCAGCAATACTGAATAACACACTTTCAGCAGTACTGTATAACACACTTTCAGCAACACTGAATGAGACACTTTCAGCAATACTGTATAACACCCTTTCAGCAACACTGAATCAGACACTTTCAGCAATACTGTATAACACCCTTTCAGCAACACTGAATCAGACACTTTCAGCAATACTGTATAACACCCTTTCAGCAGTACTGTATAACACCCTTTCAGCAACACTGAATCAGACACTTTCAGCAATACTGTATAACACCCTTTCAGCAACACTGAATCAGACACTTTCAGCAATACTGTATAACACCCTTTCAGCAACACTGAATCAGACACTTTCAGCAATACTGTATAACACCCTTTCAGCAACACTGAATCAGACACTTTCAGCAATACTGTGTAACACACTTTCAGCAACACTGAATCAGACACTTTCAGCAAAACTGTATAACACCCTTTCAGCAATACTGTATAACACCCTTTCAGCAACACTGAATCAGACACTTTCAGCAATACTGTATAACACACTTTCAGCAACACTGAATCAGACACTTTCAGCAATACTGTATAACACCCTTTCAGCAGTACTGTATAACACCCTTTCAGCAACACTGAATCAAACACTTTCAGCAGTACTGTATAACACCCTTTCAGCAGTACTGTATAACACCCTTTCAGCAACACTGAATCAGACACTTTCAGCAATACTGTATAACACCCTTTCAGCAACACTGGATCAGACACTTTCAGCAGTACTGTATAACACCCTTTCAGCAGTACTGTATAACACCCTTTCAGCAACACTGAATCAGACACTTTCAGCAGTACTGTATAACACCCTTTCAGCAACACTGAATCAGACACTTTCAGCAATACTGTATAACACCCTTTCAGCAACACTGAATCAGACACTTTCAGCAGTACTGTATAACACCCTTTCAGCAGTACTGTATAACACCCTTTCAGCAACACTGAATCAGACACTTTCAGCAATACTGTATAACACCCTTTCAGCAACACTGAATCAGACACTTTCAGCAATACTGTATAACACCCTTTCAGCAACACTGAATCAGACACTTTCAGCAATACTGTATAACACCCTTTTCAGCAACACTGAATCAGACACTTTCAGCAATACTGTATAACACCCTTTCAGCAGTACTGTATAACACCCTTTCAGCAACACTGAATCAGACACTTTCAGCAATACTGTATAACACACTTTCAGCAACACTGAATCAGACACTTTCAGCAAAACTGTATAACACCCTTTCAGCAATAGTGTATAACACCCTTTCAGCAACACTGAATCAGACACTTTCAGCAATACTGTATAACACACTTTCAGCAACACTGAATCAGACACTTTCAGCAATACTGTATAACACCCTTTCAGCAGTACTGTATAACACCCTTTCAGCAACACTGAATCAGACACTTTCAGCAGTACTGTATAACACCCTTTCAGCAGTACTGTATAACACCCTTTCAGCAACACTGGATCAGACACTTTCAGCAATACTGTATAACACCGCTTTCAGCAACACTGAATCAGACACTTTCAGCAGTACTGTATAACACCCTTTCAGCAGTACTGTATAACACCCTTTCAGCAACACTGAATCAGACACTTTCAGCAGTACTGTATAACACCCTTTCAGCAACACTGAATCAGACACTTTCAGCAATACTGTATAACACCCTTTCAGCAACACTGAATCAGACACTTTCAGCAGTACTGTATAACACCCTTTCAGCAGTACTGTATAACACCCTTTCAGCAACACTGAATCAGACACTTTCAGCAATACTGTATAACACCCTTTCAGCAACACTGAATCAGACACTTTCAGCAATACTGTATAACACCCTTTCAGCAACACTGAATCAGACACTTTCAGCTATACTGTATAACACCCTTTCAGCAGTACTGTATAACACCCTTTCAGCAACACTGAATCAGACACTTTCAGCAATACTGTATAACACCCTTTCAGCAACACTGAATCAGACACTTACAGCAAAACTGTATAACACCCTTTCAGCAACACTGAATCAGACACTTTCAGCAGTACTGTATAACACCCTTTCAGCAACACTGAATCAGACACTTTCAGCAATACTGTATAACACCCTTTCAGCAACACTGAATCAGACACTTTCAGCAATACTGTATAACACCCTTTCAGCAACACTGAATCAGACACTTTCAGCAATACTGTATAACACCCTTTCAGCAGTACTGTATAACACCCTTTCAGCAACACTGAATCAGACACTTTCAGCAATACTGTATAACACCCTTTCAGCAACACTGAATCAGACACTTTCAGCAATACTGTATAACACACTTTCAGCAACACTGAATCAGACACTTTCAGCAATACTGTATAACACCCTTTCAGCAATACTGTATAACACCCTTTCAGCAACACTGAATCAGACACTTTCAGCAATACTGTATAACACCCTTTCAGCAACACTGAATCAGACACTTTCAGCAATACTGTATAACACCCTTTCAGCAGTACTGTATAACACCCTTTCAGCAACACTGAATCAGACACTTTCAGCAATACTGTATAACACACTTTCAGCAACACTGAATCAGACACTTTCAGCAATACTGTATAACACCCTTTCAGCAATACTGTATAACACCCTTTCAGCAACACTGAATCAGACACTTTCAGCAATACTGTATAACACCCTTTCAGCAGTACTGTATAACACCCTTTCAGCAACACTGAATCAGACACTTTCTGCAAAACTGTATAACACCCTTTCAGCAACACTGAATCAGACACTTTCAGCAATACTGTATAACACACTTTCAGCAGTACTGTATAACTCCCTTTCAGCAACACTGAATCAGACACTTTCAGCAATACTGTATAAGACCCTTTCAGCAACACTGAATCAGACACTTTCAGCAATACTGTATAACACCCTTTTAGCAACACAGAATCAGACACTTTCAGCAATACTGAATAACACACTTTCAGCTGTACTGTATAACACACTTTCAGCAACACTGAATCAGACACTTTCAGCAATACTGAATAACACACTTTCAGCAACACTGAATAACACACTTACAGTAACACTGAATAACACACTTATAGTAACACTGAATAACACACTTTCAGCAATACTTAATAACACACTTTCAGCAATACTGAATAACACACTTTTAGCAATACTGAATAACACACTTACAGTAACACTGAATAACACACTTTCAGCAATACTGAATAACACACTTTCAGCAATACTGAATCAGACACTTTCAGCAATACTTAATAACACCTTTTCAGCAACACTGAAGCAGACACTTTCAGCAACACTGAATAACACACTTTCAGCAACACTGAACAACACACTTTCAGCTATATTGTATTTTAGCCTAAATTGTACCAGAGATGGAGTTCTGGCCATTGCTGTCATTAGAACCATAGTATTCGACTGTGTTGTACAGCAGTGAGGTGTGGATGTATGATAAAAACACAATGCAATACGTTTTCAATATTTCAAGTCAACAAACTGCTAGCGACGGTGCATTAAGTGTGTTTCACGTATTCCAAAGACGCGGACACAGCCATGGTAAGAAGAAAGGCCGCAGGCAAAATGATACCATCTATTTGGAAGAATGGAACACCTCGGACTGCAGAAAATCTGTGGCATTGAAATGAATAAAACGACTCCAACGCGTCGATAAGAGAGTTCTAGTTCTTGTGCTTGTTTTTGGCCAAAATGTTACAGTGGTCTGTTGACAGTCTGTATGTCCCTCCTCACCCCTCAATGAGTCTGCTGACACGACTATATGCCCTGTTGACAATCTTTAAGACCACCGTACAATTTAATACTCGTACTCTCCACGATAGCTCGATGTTCTCCCCACCCCAGATCTTCATGTCCTCGTCATAGGCTCCGATGTCTGCAAAGTACTGCTTGTCCACTGCAAACGCTGCCCCAACCATTGTAGCGCCCCTGTGTCAACAGAAAAATGCTGGGTGTGAATTTAATACCCAAAACTTCAAATTCATTTCTTGCCATTCTATATTCAAATCTTGACAAATTATATCTCTGCTACCTGCATTTGAGCCAATCCAGATTGCTTTAGTCTTATCTATATTTACGAATTGGAGAGATGTAAATCTTTTAGATTTTTAATTTAAATTTTAGCACAGATTTATTAAAAAAGAGCTTTTGAAAATGAAACTTGTTTGCAATGTAGTATGTAGCTTTTGTAATGTTGATAGTGAAACTTTATGTCATGTATACTGGGGATGTAATGTAACCAAAACTTCTGGAAGGAACTTGAAAATTGGATAATCCAAAGCATACAGAAATTTAAAATAACAAAAACTTTGGTCTGGTTTAGCATTTGAGGTAATAAGCCATTGCTAAATCGCAAAACTTTTCTGCTAAAAGATATGTTTATACTTGCACTTTGAAGAAAGTAATTCCAAAAGTTATAATTTCTTAAACATTCTGAAAGACATTTACATAATTGAAAAATTCATATCCAGAAAGTTTAATAATTGTGATAAATCTTCAGACAAACAGTTTCCTTTACTCTAAATTTGTACTTTTTCATTTAATCTTTAATTGAAGCTGAATAATTTTACTGGGAACAAATAAAAATAATAATAATTTTTTTAAAAACTCTCCACAGGGCTGAATGGCAAGAGCATCACTTTATATCGAGTAATAGTCCATCTTCTCCTGGTTCTGGTGTCTCAGCATATAAGGTTCAATCTTTTACCAACAAGGGACGTCGTAACAAGTGGACGACGGGTACAACATCGCTGCCTCTGTTTCTGATCACAGGCACTGGCATTTAGGGGATTTAAGGAGTTAGATCAGGATGGGAAACATGGACGAACAACCTCTGTATTACCATTAGCAGTGATGTGTCGATTAAGGTTATAACATCAATCAAGTGACGCTTGCTAACGGCGTTAGAAGCTTCACTGAACATTCCCTATTGATTGTATCAAAGAAGTTGTTTATCCATAAATCTTATCCTTAGGGACCGTTCATAATGTATGGCTAGGGGGGTGATGATGATTTTTATGGAGAAGCATGTACAATGTGAATGCCCCCCTTCCCCTAAATTTATGTACAAAATAAGTAACCCCCTGCATGCCATGTACAAAATCAATGACCCTCTCCCTTCCCATAATTTCTAAGCATAATTTTAAACAAATTTGTATGTACAAAATTGCTGACTCCCCTAGCTCCCTAGAACAAAATGGGTGACACCCCTTTAAATCATTATCTCCCCAAAAAAAGCCATAAATTATGCACGGTCCCTTATTTGAGCTTTTTAGACACATGGTATCATCATTGTTTTGATAGTGATACCTGCTTGTGATATAGTTGGAGTTGCTCAATGAACAACTTTATGACAGAGATTTCATATGATGTTTTTACTTACAGTGTTTCTCTAAATAATAGTTAAGGACTACAGTTGTCGACAATTTCTTTCTTTATTTAATATTGCAGCATTTTCTGTTAAAGGTGTGCATAACAAACCTACTTCCTTGGAGAATGGAACTGTGGTCCAATTTCTTCTTTTCGGAAATGGTATTCGAAGAATGTAAGCATCCAGTTAAATCCATATTTGATGACGTAGTCTGGTCGGATGTCGTATTTAAGCGTGGTCGAATCGATGTAGTCAAGAACGGACATCGCCACAGTACTTGCGTTCTTTCGAATCACCATCAGCAACGGCTCCAGCCTAAATGTGGAACATGTACGTGGCTAATGAAACACACAGGTGGAACAGGTGTGTGACCGTTTTTGATAAAGGTGGAACAGGTCTGTGTCCGTTATTGATAAAGGTGGAACAGGTCTGTGTCCGTTTTTGATAAAGGTGGAACAGGGGTGTGGCCGTTAGTGATAAAAGTGGAACAGGATTGTGTGGCCGTGATTGATAAAGGTGGAACAGGGGTGTGGCCGTTAGTGATAAAAGTGGAACAGGGGTGTGGCCGTCATTGATAAAAGTGGAACAGGGGTGTGGCCGTTAGTGATAAAGGTGGAACAGGGGTGTGGCCGTTAGTGATAAAATTGGAACAGGGGTGTGGCCGTTATTGATAAAGGTGGAACAGGGGTGTGGCCGTTATTGATAAAAGTGGAACAGGGATGTGGCCGTTATTGATAAAGGTGGAACAGGGGTGTGGCCGTTATTGATAAAGGTGGAACAGGGATGTGGCCGTTATTGATAAAGGTGGAACAGGGGTGTGGCCGTTATTGATAAAGGTGGAACAGGGGTGTGGCCGTTATTGATAAAAGTGGAACAGGGGTGTGGCCGTTATTGATCAAAGTGGAACAGGGGTGTGGCCGTTATTGATAAAGGTGGAACAGGGGTGTGGCCGTTATTGATAAAAGTGGAACAGGGGTGTGGCCGTTATTGATAAAGGTGGAACAGGTAGGCATACAGTCAGAAATAGACATTAAACATGTATCAGCTAGTCAGACACAGAGGACACAGGACTTGCATCAGTCAGACAAAAGTGCAACGACTACTTGGAAGGTCAAACAAAATGTAAACAGGCACGTACTTGGTCAAACAAAAGGGAAACGGATACATGGTTAGTCAGACGAAGTTCGAATAGGTTTTGGTTTGTCAAACAGACATGGCATTAAATGGTTTGGCAGATACAAATAAGAAATAAGGTTATATGACTATTCAGGCAAAGGTGGAACAGGCATTCTCTAGTGACATAGGTACAGTGCTAGTCAGACAAAGGTGGAACATGTATTGGCTAGTGGCACAGGTACAGTGCTAGTCAGACAAAGGTGGAACAGGTATTGGCTAGTGGCACAGGTATAGTGCTAGTCAGACAAAGGTGGAACAGGTATTCTCTAGTGACATAGGTACAGTGCTAGTCAGACAAAGGTGGAACAGGTATTGGCTAGTGGCACAGGTACAGTGCTAGACTGACAAAGGTGGAACAGGTATTCTCTAGTGACATAAGTACAGTGCTAGTCAGACAAAGGTGGAACAGGTATTGGCTAGTGGCACAGGTACAGTGCTAGTCAGACAAATGTGGAACATGTATTGGCTAGTGGCACAGGTGGCACAGGTGGAACAGGATATTACTAGTGCTAGTACAGACAAAGGTGGAACATGATATTGGCTAGTGGCACAGGTACAGTGCTAGTCAGACAAAGGTGGAACATGTATTGGCTAGTGGCACAGGTACAGTGCTAGTGACAAACAAATGTATTGGAGTGACACAGGTACATGACTGACAAAGGTGGAAGAGCTATTGGGCACAGGTACAGTGCTAGTCAGACTAGAGTGACACAGGTACAGTGCTAGACTGACAAAGGTGGAAGAGGTATTGGCTAGCGACATAGGTACAGTGCTAGTCAGACATGTATTGGCTAGTGACACAGGTACAGTGCTAGACTGACAAAGGTGGAACAGGTATTGGCTAGTGACACAGGTACAGTGCTAGTCAGACAAAGGTACAGTGACACAGGTACAGTGCTAGTCAGACAAAGGTGGAACATGTATTGGCTAGTGACACAGTGGTACAGTGCTAGTGGACAGACAAAGGTGGAACAGGTATTGGCTAGTGACACAGGTACAGTGCTAGTCAGACAAAGGTGGAACAGGTATTGGCTAGTGGCACAGGTGCTAGTCAGACAAAGGTACAGGTGCTAGCTAGACAGACACAGGTGGAACATGTAAAGCACAGGTGGAACAAAGGTGGAACAGGATATTGGCTAGTGGCACATTGGCATTGTGACAAAGGTGGAGGTATTGGCTAGTGGCACAGGTACAGTGCTAGTCAGACAAAGGTGGAACAGGTATTGGCTAGTGGCACAGGCAAAATGTGGAACAAGTGCTAGACAAAGGTGGAACAGGATATTGGCTAGTGGCACAGGTACAGTGCTAGTCAGACTAAGGTGGAACAGGTATTGGCTAGTGGCACAGGTACAGTGCTAGTCAGACAAAGGTGGAACATGTATTGGCTAGTGGCACAGGTACAGTGCTAGTCAGACAAAGGTGGAACAGGTATTGGCTAGTGGCACAGGTACAGTGCTAGATCAGACAAAGGTGGAACATGTATTGGCTAGTGGCACAGGTACTAGATAAGACTAAGGTGGAACATGGATTGGCTAGTGGCACAGGTACAGTGCTAGATAGACAAAGGTGGAACATGTATTGGCTAGTGGCACAGGTACAGTGCTAGTCAGACTAAGGTGGAACATGTATTGGCTAGTGGCACAGGTACAGTGCTAGATAGACAAAGGTGGAACATGTATTGGCTAGTGGCACAGGTACAGTGCTAGTCAGACAAAGGTGGAACATGTATTGGCTAGTGGCACAGGTACAGTGCTAGTCAGACTAAGGTGGAACATGGAAACAGTGTATTGGAACTAGTGGCACAGGTACAGTGCTAGATAGACAAAGGTGGAACATGTATTGGCTAGTGACACAGGGGAACATGTATTGGGTGACACAGTAGAACAGGTGGTATTGGCAGTGGCACAGGTACAGTGCTAGATAGACAAAAGGTGGAACATGGAACAGGTACAGTGCTAGTCAGACTAAGGTGGAACATGTATTGGCTAGTACACAGTGCTAGATAGACAAAGGTGGAACATGTATTGGCTAGTGACACAGGTGGGTACAGTGCACAGATAGACAAGGGTGGAACATGTATTGGCTAGTGACACAGGTACAGTGCTAGATAGACAAAGGTGGTGGAACATGTATTGGCTAGTGGCACAGGTACACAGTGCTAGATTGGCTAGACAAAGGCTAGGAACATGTATTGGCTAGTGACACAGGTACTCCGACAGAAAGTAAAACTGTTAGTGTGACGTGGCTGAAAGGATCGTCAGCCAAGAGGGACTGGCTGTTAACTGTCGGAAAACAATGGAACAGAACCGTGGCGCATCACAAACAAAAGATTGAAGAGACACGACGTTTCATACACATTATCGGTTTACAATCATTTCACACGCGATTGTACATGCTTGTACAGTGTGTGAGTGTCTGAATAAAATTACCACGACATATTCGTTTGGAGTCCTACATGGTGATAGTTCCGGCAGCGGGATCGAATTATAAGATAACTCGGCTGTTCTTTCAACCTGACGGCTCGGATGGCCATACGATACCTAGAAACACGACAACGGACGCGGAAACGCGAGGTTTAGAAATCGACATACATATCGCTGTCGGAAATTGTAAACCTCCAAACTGGAACACACCAGATTTAACCGTTTTCTTACTGGGTCAGAGAGACAATACGACATCGTTTGTAACAGCGAACACAATAGACGTAATGGTGTGGTAGATGCTGGTCGGTTGCGCACATGTTACACAACACTAACAGCATATGGTCGATGTTCAAAACTGACGGCCAAAAGAAACTTTACCGTAGATTTAAATCTCGCTGCGAATAGCTGGAAAATTTCTGATGTGGCGTAAATCAATATTCATTAATTCATTCATAGTTTTAAATGACTCTGGTTTGACAACCACATGTAAGAAGGACTACACAAGTTAGTTGTTAGTCTACAGGAAGAGATCAGAGTGATGGATATACGAACCACTGCACGTTCATCTCCATGTGGCTGTCCAGGAACACCAGGACCTCTCCCGCGGCAGCTCTCCATCCTGCCAGGCGGGACTTGATCAGTCCTCTACGCTCCGGCATACGCAGTATTTTCACCAGATTCTTCGGAAAGTGCTCAGAGATATATTTGTCGAGTTGAGACTTTAAACTCTCTGAAATCATGTGTTCGATGATTGTGAACATTTTATAGTTAGAGCATAGTATTCGCTGACATAATCTAACAACAATTATTACTAGGACACCATTATGTTATGATCGCTTCTTTTTGGCAACACTAGACAGGGCCAGCTGCTCGATAAATATTGGCTTTAAAAGTACTGATCTGTCATTTGTAAATAGATACACATATCTTGGAGTTTATTCAACTCAATCTTTATCATGGACATATGCTGTTGGCCAATGGACTGTTTAATCGGAAAGGGCTTTGGGTAGTATTTTTATGTATTCTTAGGAGCGTTAACGTTTTACAGAGTAAATATCTTTTTTTCATATACTCGATGGTAAAATATTGCCAGTCTTAATTTATGCCTGTGAAATATGGGGACTCAAACATTATGAACCTTTTGAAAGGATACAAATAACAGCATGCAAAAGATATAAAGACGCCTACATATACTGTGTACATTCCAAAGGGCAGCTGAACTTCGGTTAAAATAGCTGTCAGGGAGTGTTATAATGAGTTGTTAATGTAGGATAGTGATGGTAAAGCGAACTGGGTTTCAAAAGTAAGGAATGGTTCATGTACACACAGATGTATATGTGTTTGAGTGTGTGTGTGATAAAATATGTACGTATGCATTATACTCGATTAACAAGTTTATGTTTACTTCGTAACATATGAATGTACTGGAAGACATTACACTAATTGTTTGTACATTTTGTAATGGACTGTTGACCTGTGTATCAAGTGACTACGGTATCTATCTAATACACATGGCTACGTCTATTTGAGTTAGTAGATAGGACAGTAGTAGTAGTAGTAGTAGTACTACTACTACTACTACTACTACTACTACTACTACTACTACTACTACTACTACTACTACTACTACTAGTAGTAGTAGTAGAAGTAGTAAGAGTAGTAGTAGTACTGGTATCAAGATATACAGGAAACAAGTTTCACCGACAGAGTGATAAGTAATTAAATTTGATTTTGAAGTCAGTTAACCGATGACTTCACACTGTTCTTCAATGCTTTGTGATGCAGTTTCATTTCAGTCATATCTGCTGTCGAAATCAATCTTTGACAATGAATCATATGACAGGATTCATTGGTTGAACGAACTTTTCATAATCATTTCCCAGGTAATCTTTGATTTTCAAAGCTGTCGGTATGTGAATGAATATGTTGCTATCGGTATGTAGATCAAATACATTAACGATTTATCAACAATGTATCTTTGTACATGGTTACGCTATATCAAATACATCTCATGGACGTGATGGAGGCTGGTATTGATGGCTACTGGAAATACCCATAGTGCTAGCATCATCAACGAGGATGATTTCTTTGAGGAGGGACACCGGCGTTCTGTTGATAACGCTGTAGACTGTCCTCAATAGCAGTGACGGCCACTCGTCATAGAATGGCACGATGACTGTAGCTGTGGGAAGATCGTCCACAGGATACGTGAGGTTGCGGCAGCTGAAACACATGGTGCACTTATGTCAGCTTCAGGCTATTACATAGTCTAAAATAACTACACGTTGGTTACTGCATAATCTAAAATAACTACACGTTGGTTATGACATAATCTAAAATAGCTACACGTTGGTTATTACATAGTCTAAAATAGCTACACGTTGGTTGTTGCATAGTCTAAAATAACTACACGTTGGTTATTGCATAGTCTAAAGTAACTAAACGTTGGTTATGACATAATCTAAAATAGCTACACGTTGGTTATGACATAATCAAAAATAGCTACACGTTGGTTATTGCATAGCCTAAAGAAAACTACATTGGTTATTACATAGCCTGGAATAGGTAACATTGGCTATTACTTAGTCTCAAATAGCTACACGTTTGCTATTACATAGTCTCAAAGAGCAGCACGCCGGTTGTTAGATAGTCTCAATACCCGTGAAGATCCAAGTTAGAATTGGTCTTCAGATTATTATGTAGCCAGAAATATGCTTCACATAGCAGAATGCATAAAGAGTAGAAAGGTGACCAGCCTAAGAGATTAAACACCTGTGAAATTACTGGCCAGTTTAGATCTAGTGATATTTTTGAAAATGAAATGTGCCTTAAATATACTAAGCAGCAAAAGAAACGTCAGTTTGGAATTTTCCGTCGCAGAAACGGATAACTGTAAACGCATTTAATGTTTTGATTGTATATTTTTTTACAACATCTACAACTTTACCTGAGCAAAGACATTCCTTCCCAAACTCAGAATGGAACCCAGGAAATGGTCTCAAACACGCAACCTGATCTCGGAGATCGTACGGTGTTCTCCATGTTTTTTCATGCAACTCATGCTGCATGTGCTGTTCACAAGGACCAGCCCTATAAAATGCACCCCCAAACCTGGTTGAAACATTCACATTACAAAGTCTGCAGAATGCCGCGACTCACGACAGCTCAGAGGAAACAGGCGCTAGGAAGACTTCAAGCTGTCCATACTGCACAAGCCGTTGCCAATCACTTCCAGGTCAACGTTCGGACCATCTACAGGCTGCAGCAACATTTCCGGGCCACCAACACCACAAATGATCGCCCCCGTACTGGCAGACCAAGGGTGACCACAAGACGACAAGACCGCCATGTTGTTCGACAGCATGTACAGAATCCCTTCATGCAGGCATCCGAAACAGCACGCCAGACAGTGGGAACACATGGAAGACCAATCAGTACTGATACAGCACGCCGACGTCTTAACAGCGGGAACCTCGTGGCCAGCGTTACTCAGGCCAATGTGTTATGGAAAGAGACTCATGGGGAGGTGCAAGCATCATGGTATGGGGTGGACTAGGCCTGAACCAGAGAGTGGGTCCTGTGGTGTTCCAGAACCTTGGTCCAGGGAGAGGAGGCGGCATCACAGCGGTGCGCTACATCGACCAAGCTCTCAGACCCCACGTCATACCACATCTCGCAAGTCACCGGAACAACATTTTCCAGCATGATAACGCCCAAGCCCATACTGCCAGAGCTACACGGGACCTCCTACAGCAGAACGGTGTCAACACTATGCAGTGGCCACTGGCCGGCCGTTAGTCCTGATTTAAACCAATTGAACATCTTTGGGATGAAATTCAGAGGAGACTGAATAATGTTATACCAAGGCCGAACACAGTCGATTTATTGCGCCAGGCCTTTCTTAGAGTGTGGTTCCAGGTGCCAATGGCCTTCATCAATCGATTGGTGTACTCCATGCATAGACTCTGTGCTGCAGTTATTGCCGCTCGTGGTGGTCACACTAGATACTGAAGTCAACAGTCTGTATGGACTGCAAACGTTCACGTAATGTCTTGAAAGTGTGCTGAGTTATTCATTGATGTGTCAAGATATTGTACACTTAAAATGTTTTTGATCCGCTTATTATGTCCATTTCTGTAATGATTTGACTACAGTGCCTGTCTAATTTTGAATTCGTACTGACGTTTCTTTGCTGCTGAGTATAGTTAACAAGGCATGGGTAGATTTCATGTTTACATCGCACTTGTTGACATGTGAGTTGTAGATCGTGCTTATTGATGTCCGCATCGATACATTGTATCATGACAGGGTTTAGCACGTCGCTTTTAATAACATGAAATACCAAAATGAAAGCGAATTTCATTTTACGTTACTTTGATGTTACAACAGCAAACAACGAATTAACGATTTCAAACAGTGTATTCAATAAAGTTGATTAGATTTCACGTATCTACCAAATATCACTTTCTATGAAAAGACAGACGTAACATGCACTGAATAAAGTTGAACAGCCTGATAAATATACTGTGCAGTTAATGAGGTAAAGGTTTCTACGTGCAGTCAAACAATATCACAGTGGGTTGGGTGGTCCCAAAAGTTTTTCCCTAATAACTTTGTACCCAGTTATCCTTTCCGCATTCAACCGAATAGTGCAACATGTAATAACATTTCTTTACATATCTGTGGTCTGGCAACCTAACAATTTCAAGTCAGTATTTTAGCAGCCTCTTTGAAGTGTTAATTACAATGGATATCTCCCCCATTAAAATGATTTCAGTAGTACAGATTAATGACGTGTGTTTTGACACGTTAACATAGGGACAACTTACAGTTAAAGATTCAACAGCATCACGTGACACATGTGCTGCCACAACGTACCAGACATTGGTTGGTTCAGCCAGGTACATAACAACTTTCAATCAAACTAACTAGAGCCTCTTTCTACCGCTGCTGAAAGCACAACACGGCAGTCACAGTAGGACGGTCGGAATTGCCCACCAGCAGAAATTGTCCCACGTAAACTTTGAGGGGAGGTTTATGTTTAGGTCACGAATCACAGGATCTAGTTTGTGTGAGAGCCGGCGTTCCCACTTACAACCCACTCTAATACTACACGTCCACCAAGACATACCAGCAGCCCAGTCCGCTGCTAGGTGTAGGAGATATTACAGGGTACCTGTGTCCCGGGGGAGGTGTCACGAACACATACTGGCGTCTCTTCCTTTTTGATACCGTACAACTTGCCTTCTATAACCTCAAGACGCTAGTCTTACTTTGTTTCAGAAAGAGAGTATATTGCTGAAATAGATATCTTTCGACGACAATGAACTCATTTTATACACATGTTTTAGCAACCTATGCTTGTTGTAAATGACGACTAACGGGATCTGGTGTGGTTTATTTCTCGGTATACAATTTGGACAGATTGATGTTTATGATGTCTATCCCTGGATTGTCTGGTCCGTGTTCCATGTTGTTCAGACCGACATCATGTAGCTGGAATATTAGGCAGCACACATACAACACTACATGTACCATACGCTGTGATGCAAGTCCCAACATGGGATGTTTCTTCCAGTATTATGAAGCTGATGTCTGCATCTCCATAGACGGTTACTGGTCTTTTAAACACGGAATGTTTAATATGCTTGAAACTGTATTGATATCATCCTCGATAATCTCCAGGGTATACGTTACGATTTATCGGAGTGTATACCCTGGATATTATCGAGGATATATTGATATGCCTGGAGTCCCATGATATCCGCCTCTGTATTGCTCGGGTAGTGCGAACTGGCAGGATGTTTCTAGAAAGAACTTTCTGTAAACTATGATCAGATATTTTCATGCAAACTTGCAATATATATGGAGCTAAATATTTGGGAAATATGAATATGTAGGGAATATTTTGAGTGAAGATTGATATTCTATAAATGCGTAGAAGATATAATGATATTTCATCATTCTTAAGCTTTTTGTTCATACATGTATATGCAATAAACCCTATAGGTTTTATTGCGTCTCGCATCCACCATGCAATCTTTCTGATGTTTGTGCCGAGATGCGTAGTTTCATTCAAGGACATTCAAGTTGTCAGTGTTATCAGAGACAGAAAGGCAACATGAAAAGACTGATGTACATAAGAAGACCGACCACCCAACTATAGATATAGTGTATATGCACAAAGAACTTATTAAACACATCCTGCAGTTTTGCAAAGATAGGTTTCAACACGTACATAAAACCTTTCGTGGTGACCACGATTGAGTGTTTCTGACCCGTATGTTCCCATGATAAATTATTGGGATCCATGTTGATTTTATGAAGATAACTGCTCATCTTAAAAAGCAACAACACTGATTCTCACACAAAACCATGTCTGCACAGGTATGGCCCTTGGCTGTTTAATGCTGAATTTATTGTAATTTTGCGTGTCTTACACGATTCAAGGTCAATACCGAGTGTAACCTCCATGTGACTGTATGACAACCAGCACTCTCCTCCTCATACCCAGTGTCAACCTCCTGATCCTCTGAAGGGGCAGTCTATGCCATTCTTCTTGTAAAGCAACTTCCAATTGGGCCAGGTTCTGTACAGTAGGATCCCTTTGTTGCACACAACGACCAATCATGTCCCAGATATGCTCCAAAGGGTTAAGGTCGGGCTCATTCAATCGTGAGATATGTCAGGGGGTGCTTCACTAAGTTCTTTGTGTATATTTACACACACGTGTAATAGACGATTTCAAGGCGGCCCCGTGCTTATGTAATATAACATGTTACTCATTTATAAAATAGTCTAATATAAAAAAACAAGAATTAGAAAATAAAGCCGAACTGTGATAGACTGCATTGAAGGACCTTTGAGCGGTATGTAGAAGTGATACACATAAAAGATGAGGATTAATTAATGTAAAATTCTTTATTTTTGAGGAATAAGAGGTTTCGTAGTATATTCTGCCCTATTCGTCAGGTGAATGAAAAACTTAACAATGGAAGCCAGTAGCTAATTGGCGCTGATTAGTATTGACAATGAACAAATAGGAGCCAAGAATTAAATCTGGCATGAATAGTCCTGTCAGATGAGCAAGAACTGGTACGTTATGTACAAAATTGACATCCCTAAATTCTCAGGGGACCGTGGCTAATTCCCCAAACAGGTACACACACTTCTGCAAAGATGCCTGGATCCTACTGGTGTAAAATGTCTCTCCAAGATGTGTA